CTAGCTAGCTAGCTAGCTATCTAACTCTCCAGAAGGTGCGCCAATGTTGAGTCAACGGCTCCTTTCTCGAGTTGTATCGGGTCGAAGAGTCTCCCTGGTTCGGCCTCGTCAACCTCCAAGGGGCGCCCGGACGGTGGCTACTGTCATTGGCTCTACTACTTTTTCGAGACGGTCCCCATTAGTTGGGGCTCCATCCTCATTATTGTGTTACCATGATCATGATTATGACAATAACCCCACACTGCATCAACAATACATTCAACGACAACAAGTTCGTTGGAAACGCAAATCGGGTGTTTCGGCGGATGATCCCAAACCACGGCGATTTTCCAAAAAACAAAAAAAGAGATTTCGACGTCAACTGGAACGAGAACGAGATTTGGCCAAACATGCGGCACCCGGGAGTGTTGCCGGACAGAAACGGGAATATGTCGAACAAGAAAAACAAGAAATGATCAACGAGTATCAGAGTCGTCTCGATGGGACACTGCCATTGCCAGGCAGTCCACTCGACGATCCGTCGTTGGAATACACGGCATCGGATGCCTTGCTCGATGATTTGATTGGCAACTCGTCCTATACCGGGGCACCCACACCGGAACCCATCTATTATGGACATCGACAACAGGCATTCTCCAGTAGAGTCAAGAATCAACTCGAGATTTATCAGCAAGAACTGCAGGCTATAGAGACTGCAGGCACACAAAACAAGAAAAAGAAACAACCCAAGCATTTGCTCCCCAGCGATCGGGAAATTGCCTTGGCCATCAAGGCATATCGAGATCGACACGGCACCAAACAAAAACCCATTGGAATCGCCAGGGCACTCCAACACGTCCTCAAAGATCTGAAAATACCCAGTATTCAGTCTTGTTTTGGAGAATACAGTTACAATGCACTCCTCTCTTGTTGTCGCACACCCAAGGAAGGTCTACGAGTCTTTCAAATGATGGAAGAGAAGGAACAACCTAACAAACACAACATATCCAAATACAGTTGGGCCATTCTCATGGACATTCATGCCAAAGTGGGCGATTTTGAAGGATGCGTCCGTGTGTTGGACGGCATGCACGAGGCTGGGCATGATCCCAATTTGGCCGCCTACACGTCACTGCTAGCGGGCTGTTATAAAGTCTGCAATGATGGACGCATTGCCCATGGTATTCGCGCTCGCGCTGGAAAAGTGGGATGGGAAAAATGGCAAGAATTGCAAATTGTGGGATTGCAACCCGATGTCATGTGTTACGGTGCCATGTTGCGACTCTGTGCTGCGCGGGGGAAACCGGAACAATGTGTCAATTTGTTGGAAGAAATGCCACGATTTGATGTGGCACCCACGACATTGTGCTTTACATCCGCCTTGAAAGCCATTGCCAAGAGTCATGAAACGGCCATTCGATACGAACGGGGATGGTCCAAGCACAATCGACGACGAGAACGTGTCACGGCACATCATGGGAAAATGGCATACGACGTCGTTCTCTTGGCCGAATCGGCCAAAGTGGAACTGGATGATGGATTCGTTAGTGCGCTGCAATTGTGTGCCGCCGCGGCAGGTGATTCGGCAACCGCCAAAGCTATTTACTTGGCCAGCAAGGTTCAACGGAATATGAAACATTGGCGGGCCATTGGAGGAGAGGAACACTTGGCGCGGTTGCGAGGAGAAGATCCTGCCTTGCACTCATTGGAGGGCAGTAGTACAGCTTTGCAAGTAGCGGAAACAGATTCGTCCACGGCAGCCATTGCCAATGCTAACATTCAGAAACGACGACAAGGAAAAAGGATGTCGTTTGGCGAGCGGGAGTACGGAAAGGACACCCGAACTTTGTCTGCCGTTCTGCGAGCGTGTGCTCAAGCTTCGGATAAAAAGGGCGTTGGCACCATGTGGTCAGGTCGTGATAACTATGGATACCTGGACTTGACGTCCTTGCGACTCATTCAACAATACAGAAAACCATCCTTCCGAAACTCGGATCTTCCGGGAATGTCGAGGACAGAGTTCGGGATCAATACCATGGTGGATTCCGAAGATTTGATCAAACCTCGCAAACGAACAGACCCGTTCCTTCGCAGAGGTGCACGGAAAAAGTATCCGGGCTTTGTTACTATGGAAGGAATGCCGAGTGGACTTTATGACTTGCCCGACGAGCAGCATTATGACTACTTTGACGAAGATGGCATGCTCAAACAAAAATATATCGATTCTGGAGACTACCCTGAATTTGAAAGAATCCAAGAGAATGCACGATACTTAGCGGCCAAGGAAGCCATGTTGGAACTAGAGCAGTCGCGACAAGAGAGGGTCGAACAGATTGGAGAAGGCAATCTTGCGTTTGACACTACTAGTAGGCAGATTGAAGCTGGCGACAAACTGGCGTCAGAGAATGCAGATGACAAGGAGATGGAAGTTGAATGGTATTTTGATGCAGACTCGAGGAAATGGTCCACCAGACCCAAGCAGGAAACTGCGGAGAGGCTGGATGCTCTGCAACAAATCGGTGGGCACACCCAGGAAGCAATAGCAGAAGATTACGCGAGCGAAAGTGGAACGGAAGAGTGGAACTTTGATGATGAAACCAGGCGTTGGAACACTCGGTTTGTGTCGACGCAGGAGAGTGCACACAAACCATTGGCGGAGACGACGCTGACTGATTTTGAAAGCAGAGCAATGGAGGAGCAACGAATGAAATCCCTCCAGTTCGAGGGAAATGAAGTTGACGACGAAGCTTTCGATGAAGACGAACTAGACGAAGAGGAGTTCGAAAACGCGATGAAGGTACGTTTGATCATTCGTGCGTGTTGATTGCTTCTGCCGTGCTTTCTTGCACGTTGCCGATGGAAACAAGACTGGGCGACAGCACGGTCATTCCACTTTCTTATCGGATCGTAGCGCGGCGACAAAGACCAACCGACGATGTGTGTGCTGTTGAGCGAGCTGGACGATTTCAGTGTGAAGGCTTCGCGAAACAGTCCTTCGGTACATCTTGACTGACGATCGGTGTTTCATCTTTCCTTTGGTTCACTTTTGTAGGCTGTGGGGAAAGAATTTGGATGGAATGGGGGCAAATTCGATGATCCCGAGATGGAGAAGGACTTTGAGGATTTTTTCCATCAGTTAAAGCAAGATATGATTGAAAACGGTGAAGACCTTTCCGCGGTGAGCGATGTTGAAGCCCGGCAACTCTTTTTAGTAATGGCAAGTGAGTTTGATGCTTCAGCGGTGGATACAGATGACTCGGACGACGAAGCTGAGGAAGTCAAGATGAGCGCTATGGGCAGGGACGAACCTACAGCGGGTGACTCCACCGCAGCGCTGGCAATGAGTCGACCGCCCCCAAAACAAGCATTCGGTCAGATTATGCAGGAGCTGAAGGATGAATGGGGAGAAGACGGATTAGAAATAGACTTGGACGATGTGAGTGACGATGAGTTATCTGGGGATCAGATGATGGGTAGGACAGAACTAGCACTGGAACCCCAACCAGCGGCGTGGAAACCAGGAGCCACTTTTCAGGCAGACGCAGGCCAAGCAACAACCATCCTAATGGAACAACCCGAAGAAGTGGAAACCCAAGTCGATCTCCAGGACGACTATGGCAATTCAACGTTAACAGAGACCGCTTACCGCTCTATCCAGCAGGAAGAAGACAATCCCGCGCCAGAGTATGATTTTGAGCTCGAGGAATTGCGGCAACTGCTCCCAGGGTTGCCTGACAACCGGTTGCGGAAAATCAGAAACGCTTACGAAGAAGGCTTGTCGGATCCGTCGCTGTTAACTCTGGTCCCAATATTGAGGGAAACGATGCCGGTGAGTACGAATTTGGATCTGGGATGCTATGTTCGTGGAGAACGATTCACTCGGGTTTCTAATGCGTGTATGCTTCATGTTGCTGTATTCTCCTCAGGATTGGTTCACGTCAAAGTCGTTGAGGGCTTCAAACGCCAGGAATGCTCACTTTGTTCTGGAGAGAGCCAAAGAAGCAGGTTTGTTGGACGTGCATATTCTCAATGGGATGCTTCAGTTCTACACTTCAGCCGGAAGCCTCGAACATGCCTTAGCTTTGTATGACGAGTATCGCGAGCAAAAGCTGGTAAGCATCATCCGTGTTATTGTTGTGCAAATCAGTGGTCGGCACCAGAAAACTTATGGAAATTCTCATCGTGTTTTCAACAACCGGCGCGATAGGAGCCAACCTCGTACAGCGACCGCCTGGTCGTTCAAATGTTTCTCAAACAAAAACGCTTTCATCGATGCCTTGCTTTCAAGCAAATGGTGGAGGAGAGTGGGCGAAGGTTGGACTTGCTTGCATATGGCCCCCTCATTGAACATTGCAGCAAACATCGGCAGCTCGGATCAGCAATCATGTTTCTGAAAGAGTGCATACGGGTCAACGGAGCTCCGCCAGGAGAAGCTTATTTGAAAGAACTGAGGATTCTGTGTCGCAAAGAGGACATGGAAGATGAAGTGGGCTTGGAGGCAATGATTGGAGAAGACCCCATCCTTTGGAAAAAGCATGGCGAAGCTGTCCTGAAACCAGGAAAGGCTGGAAACCAAAGCCACATCAATCTGGCAAGGAACGCGATGGTTCGAGCATAAAGCCTGATGATCAAGACAACTTTAGGAACCATAAAACAGATGGTTTTAAAGAAAACAAGCTAGGCGAGGCTAAAGCCTGCCGCATCCAATGTGTTTTAGTTGCACCATTTTGACGGAGCATACCGTCCAATGCAACGAGGAACCCCGCAAGCAGAACGCAGGACAAAAGGGTAGACTAGCTAGATAGTAGGCCTGCAATTTGGCGGGGGTGTTCACAAGTAGGGATACTAGCAAACCTCCATCGTCGCGCTTTGGACAATGCAAAGCGATGGCTGTGGTTGAGGGAAACTTCTTGGGCTTGTGAAATGTATCTTTTTGGCGGAGGGCTCTTGTCGTGTACAGCTTGCACCACACTGTTGTAATTTGGTGAGACAACAAGAACACATGGAGAACACGGGACGGGTTAATTAGGTTGCGTTCAGACTTGCTTCGGCGAAAGCAAAAAGCCCTCAGTCATGCTTGACCTATTTCACGTGTCAGTCCTTTTGTGCGAAAATTTGAGTGATCGTATTTGGAAAATTCCGGGAACGCCCTGCTTCAGGGGCTTCCTGCGAGAGATCTGTTGCTCACATCCTCCAGCTTCAGCAAAGAGTGAATAAATCGAAGCCGTCACGGCCTTAACCACAATGCAATGTTGATTTTGCTGCTCGTGATACTGGTCACCTCGCATGTTGTCGCCTCGGAGACATTCGTTCCTCTTTGCTGGGGACAAGATCATCGAAGCTCGTCACCACTTTTTGATAATGACATTCTTCGTGGGTACAAGCTCAATATTGCCGAGGGGGGGAGCCCGTTGAGACATCATGTCTTCGAAGGGGAGATTGAAGCTGTTCCTTCTTCGAATACCCTTTCGAGATCATTAGTCATCAAGACACTTGACGACATAAAAGATGTGCTGGAGATCGAGGGAAGCCTTGGCGTTTCGTATGGCCCAATGACAAGCAGGGAGGATTCAGCGTACTTTCTCCAGAGCAAAGTGGCTTCAAAACAGCAGGTCACATCTTGGTATCGTAGCAGGCATGTGGCATATGCCAAAGCTGTTGACGTGAACACATTGAAACCAATGTTTGGGGTAGACCTGCTCGATGGAGATGAGATAGCTGACCATTTTGGTTCCAAATTCATTGATCAAATCATATACGGGGCCCAACTTGATGTCGTGTTTACACTGACTTCATCTGAAGACATAGATATGAAAGAGGTCGAGGCAGAACTGAAACGAAAGATTGGTGTCGAACCTCTCTCGGATGAGTTTCAGGCAAACTTTAAGAAGCAGGATGGCCAATCACGTTCCAAATACGAGATGACTATTGTTGCTCAAGCCTGTGGAGTAGATTTCTCTACGCCTACAAATCCAAGCTTTGAACAAGTAAATGAGCTCATAGACGACTTCAATTCACAATACAACAAGTCGAAGGTTGCGGTGGTGCAAGGTGGAACTATCGACGCAGAACAAAGTAATATTCTCGAGCAATTCAGTCCTATTGGATTCACCCTTTCGTCTATCGCAGATTATCTACCAAACCTTAACGAAGTTGCGTCTGATGATCTTGGCTCCAGGATGACAGAATTACGTGAAGTCTTCCATCAAGCCCTTTTCTGGGAGGCAAAAATCACAGCATTTCGCAATCAACAAGAACTCATATACCTGGATTCACGGTCAAGAGATGAAATGTTTGAGCCATATAATACTGAAGTATCTAAGGTGTTGCACAAGTTGGAGGCAAAGATTGAAGAGTGCTTGGAATATCGAAGTCAACCCATGGCAACAATTGTTGGAAGTGACGAAACTAAGGCCGCAAAAATCCCTGATACGTATCCCTCTTCTGGACATGATGAAGATGCGTTGCAAGGTCTTGTTGGTGCAGCTTTCATACCCAGTCCAGTGACAGTTGGGAAATCCACCTTTGACCACATGCACTATATCGGCTTTGCTCTTCCCAACAGGATCGATACTTCATCTTTAAACATTGTATCGCGTACAACAGCAAACTGGATTCCTTGGATGGCAGGCACACTTCTACGCGACCAGGACAACAGTCTGGTTGCAACTGGTATTACGCCGGAATCCTTAGAGCGCCAAGCTTATGCGGTGACCCATGACGTTCTACCTTTTGGACTGGAGTATTTGCACTATGGGGAGGAAATCTTTTTTCAGAGCGGTGGGGCAGGGAGCCGCTGGTTGAATGGCCTTGGAGGAGTGCACACTGCCAATCCGCTTGAAACTGGCAGCAGGAATACCTACCAGTGGAATTTTTGGAGCGAGCTTGTCAGCGATGACCTCCTAAGCGGACACGATCCCAAGCACGGTCAATGCCTGAAATATGGCGACAAGGTCTACCTAAACACGGCAGGCCTCTGGCTTCGCGGAGGGATCCCACCGGATGACTCCAATGCGGATGGAGGAGTGGAAACAAAGGCATTCGAAGAGATTGATAAGTCCGATCTTGACAGCTACGTGTGGATTGTGAGGAGTACATTTGGGTCTGGTGTTCACACTGACAAAGATCCAGCACTTGGGCAATGCGTGCAAAACCTGAATAGAGTTTATCTGCAGTTGAACGTCAGCGAATGGCGTTGGCTTTGTGGAGCAACAGGGGCAGGTACTGTTGGGGTAGACATTCGCAATGTCTACGATAATGACGAGCTTGGAAATCATGGTCACTATGAATGGATCATGCAAACGACTCTAGGAAATGGCTCCGATACAAACGGCTTTTTCTGTGCTGCCACAGCTGCCAGCGGCAGCTGGACCCCCTTAAAATACTCCGCTGATGAAAGCCAGACAGTATCAGTGAGTACTGGTATCAAAGGAAGAAACATCCAATTTCCATACTTCAAGCGAACATCATTGTGGGATGACAGTGTTGCGGGCAGTGTTGGAGGAGGATTCCACTTTGGAAGGGGTAACTTGGACATAGATTGGCTCGTTGCAACAGAACTTGTGCCCTCCGCGCACGAAGCTCTAGGCAGCAGTGATTCTCCAACCAACCAAACTTTCGCTCCTGGTCAGGTGTGGCAGTTTGTGTTTGAGATCAGTGATACCTGTGCACCAAAATGGGAGCTCAGGACAGGGGATTTGGTGGTCACTGAAGGTCCTGATCAAGAACCTTGCTGCCTCCCCGGTTTTGAGACTGATAACCCCCATGGACGTTGCCGACTGCAATCTCCCTGTCAGTGTGAAGCTTCTGTTTGCTATCCACCAGTTCCAAAGTGGACGGTTTCTCCTACAGATGCACCAATAGCATCAAATGTTTCAGCAGCTTCCCCCCCACCCGTCGCACCTCCTTCAAAGTCAAAGAATATCCGTAGCAGTGGTATCATGGCTCGAGTGCATTCACTGGTTTGGCTTTCTCTTGTGTTGGTTGTGTTCGTGTAATGACTCCCAAGCAAAGGAGACATTGCAGTTTTGCTGTTCTCTCCGTGCAAGTATGAAAGTCTTCATTGAGGTCAAAAGTTTAATGTAAAGTATTAATAAATCCTGCATGCTGGCTATAGGACAACTTTCTGCCAATGCACTACATGTAGTATAAGCTAGCTACTGTAGCCAGCGAGGGACGAAATCAAGGGTTGGAATTGGACTATGACTTCTTTTAACTACGTGGAACGTCTACAGCTAGAGACTCAAGAGAACCATTTGCTCAATGCATTTGCTCAATGCACTTTTAAGTTTCAACCTCCTTGACACCATCTTCACTCACAACGACCTTGATCTCCTTGCTCTTTGACATTTGTACTTCTTCGTAAGTGGGGAAATCAGTGTATCCCTTGGCTCCAGTTGGGCCCCACCACGTGGGGTATTCAGCCGGGGGCGCTGTGGGCCAGTCGTTGGCAAATCGCTCGGGCAAATCTGGGTTGGACATGAAGAGCCGTCCAAAGCATGCCAAGTCAGCAGCTCCAGACCTGATCATGCCCTCCGCGGATTCTTTGGTGAGCCCGACGTTGCTGATGATTGGTGCATCAAAAACTTTCTTCACGTCGAATGCTGTCACGGCGCGGTCAAGCCCATGCCACCCAAAGCCCTTACCGTCCATAATGTGAAGGTAGGCTAGTCCGAATTCATTCATTGTCTTTGCCACGTGGGTGAAGGTTTCATAGTTATCCTTGCTTCCCATTCCTCCAAAGACGCCATTGGGACTGATGCGGAATCCAATGCGGTTGGCAGGGAAGGCTCCGCTGTCAATGATGGCCTGCACAACCTCTTGCAAGAATCGGACTCTGTTTTCCTTGGATCCTCCGTATTCATCAGTGCGGTTGTTGCTGCTGGACTGCAAAAACTGGTCAATCAAGTATCCGTTTGCGGCATGGACCTCGACACCGTCAAATCCAGCTTCCTGTGCCAACTTGCTGGCGTTCACGTAGTCTTGGATGGTCTCCTTGATTTCTTCAATAGTCAATGCATGAGGGACCTCGGGATCCGCATTTTCGCTATTCACAGTCTTCACCTTGGTGCTTCCGTCGGCAATGGGAAGGTTTCCAGCCGACACAACGCGCTTGGTATTGGGGTGGTGCGAGCTGTGAGATTGGCGTCCCATGTGCCAGAGTTGAAGGTAAATCAAACCATCATTTTCATGCACGCGATCCACAATCTTCTTCCAGGCCTGAGCCTGTTCCTTTGTGCGAATGTGAGGTGCGTTCCTCCAGCCTGCTCCATCTTCACTGATTGCGGTCGCTTCAGTGACGATTAAACCGCCAGAGGCACGTTGAGCGTAGTAGTCTGCCATGATGTCATTTGGCATGCTGTTCATCTTGTCAAAGGGATCGACGGTGTTTTCACAGCGAGCACGCGTGAGGGGAGCCAACACCAATCTGTTCTTGAGTTCTTGGCCTCCGACGGTGACTTTAGTTAGAAGTTCCATGGTTTTGTTTTTGTTTTCTCTTTGTTTTGCTTTGCTTTGAATGTTGCTTGTTTTTTGATTTTGTGAGCTCTGTTCGATGACAAAAGGAAGTGGTGCTCGGCCGACCCAGCCAACTAGCTTCGGCGCCGATCAAGAAGGACGCAGGTTTCCTGGTTTTTCTTGAGAAGTCGATCGTCGTCCTTGGAACACCCTTAGAGTGTATCCGATTAAAGCTTCGTAAGAAAGACTAAAACAATTGTGCGTACCCTCTGGAGATACAAACTAGGGTAAAGATTAATGGGAGCGAAGTTGAAGACGGAGAGCTCGGAAAGGAAGGAAATCGAAGACAAGGACTAAGATGTGGGATCTCAAAGGTCGAACTCCTGTGTCATCTAATCAATCGTCACGCACGAAGCAATGCTGCGGTAATCGCTCGGGCTGTACGTGTACGTCGAGCAAATAACAGTTCAGAACGCAGCATTGGCCAACGGTGCTGTGATCTGATTCAGTTTCCTTCGTGGCACAAACATGTACAAACATCATTCTCCTCCACGGCAAATGACGATGCGCAGTTTCGGCAAAACGAGAAAGAATCCGATGACAGCTTCCATCCCAGTGATTCGATTATTCGTATCTTTGTCGTCGAAAGATGCTCTAACCAGGGATTGCGCTCTAGCTACTGGTAGCTAAGGGATCCAGCCAAATAGATTGCCACAATCATGTCTCTAGACAAAGACCTTTCTGTCATGCTTTTTGAGCGTAGACTAATCTACAAGCTTACCCTGCACCTGCAGTACGGTGAGCACGGCATCGCTGATGTTGTCATCATTTTGCTGGCCCAACTGTCAACTTAATCAAAGCACTCATGTTTCTCTGATTATTCTTGTACACCCCATCAACTCCATAGGTTGTAAACTTGATGCGAGTCTCGCTATAGTGCTCATAATCGTCCAGCTTTTCACGATCATCCGAATCGGGAAAATCAGTGGAGAGGACAATCAAATTCAGCTCTTCCAATGTGAATCGATGAGCTCCCATATCCATCTTGTTCTGTGACAGCAGAAGGGTTCGTCCAGGGATTGTCACGTTCTGCTTCTTTACAGTATTGGTTGGATCTACTGGTGGTTGGACTCCTACCAATTCTCCCGATTCAAAAGGTGTTTGCCGGTAGCGCCCCAGAACGTGATTGATCGTAGATCCAAGAATGCAAGGTCCTGCCACAAATAGTGGACTATAGGATGTGATCGTGGATAGCTCTGGCGATGGACAATGCATTTGAGCCACGTCAAGAGATGTAAATCGTTGGTGGATATTGTTGACAACTGTTTCAATGACGGCCGCCAGAAAGGGGTGCCCAGGAGCCGAAGCGAGAAATCCATTCCAGAGACACATGCGAGTTCCAATGCGTTTGCCCGGCTCGTCCAATCCAACGAGGAATCCAACATGGCTGGGAATGGCATCATCAAGAGAGGGCCCCATTAGAGTATCCACGTCGGCATAGACACCTCCTTCAATGAGCAGGACACAATATCGAAACAGATCAGCCTTGAAGGCGCCAGGAATGAGTAGATCATAGGCTTGTCGTACTTGCGGTGGAAAATGAGCTGATAGAAATTCCCCAGCAACGTCATCAGTGTAAAACTTGTATTCCCACCCAGAAGTCTGGTAGGAATTGACGAATCGACTCAGGTGTGGATATTTCTGAACATTGGTATTGGTGATATCTTCAAACCAAGTTTGATGAACAATTCGTGGAATCAACCGAGAGGGATCCTTTCGTTGGAGTGGAGGATTGACAATGAAGGCATTATTGTTGTCGGCATTGTGTCTGGTTTCTTTTTGATGACGACACAGTTCCTTACAAAAGCACGGGCACTCTTCTCTACAAGTTTCACAGGTTGCTCCGTGCTTCTTGTCTGCAAGGCACTTGTGGCAGGCATTTGACGGCATGCAGTTGGCTTCCTCGAGAATTTGGTAGAATGTCTTCTTGTTGCTTGCTGCTGAAAAAGTAGAAACAGAGAAGGATGGTCTTGTTCCATCCATTGGAGTGACTTTGGCCTGGAAGGTCTTTTCCGTCTCTAGTAATGGCAAATCTGTTTTAGTTGTTGTCATATGCTTGGCGTGAGCGCCTAAAACAGCTACTATTTCCTTGGCACTGTCGCCCGCATAGGCAACACAGCACAAACCAGATCGGTGGTCGTCAGTACAGGAACATGACTGATGCAAGATGTGCCAATTCTTGGGTTCGACTGCAGTAAAGTTGTAGAGTGCTTGAGGCACAATGTTTGGATTGGAAATGAGATGGTCCAAGCCCGTTTCCACAAGGAGTTGGGCCATTTTGGCGGCCACTGGCAACTGGGCATGTCGTAACATGACAATGTTGGCTGACTGTGAATTGACGACTACGATGCCAGCATTGTTGTCCTCCGATAGAATCAGTCTCTTCAAGGCATGTCCATTCAAAATAGTAGTGTCACTATCCAAAACGATGCCACCGTGTTGGTACAGTGCACACCATTTCCACAATTCCACTGCCAAGTGCTCAGCCTTGCTCTGCATAAGAAACTCGTAGCGTGATGCTGATCCTCCATTGACACAGCCATGGTGGACCAAGAACTGGTGTTGCTCGTCTGTGGCATTGGAAATGTAGTGGACCGAACCGGAAAAGACCTCCTCTTCTAGAACCGCCTTTTGTTTGCGAGTTCGTGCTCGTGTCACTGCAGATACTTCGTTTTCACCATTGTTTTGTGAGGAAAACACGAAAATTTGCCCTTGACCTTCTACTTGTGGTGGATCTTGGAGAAGACGGCGAGCGTCCTGATGGGCGTCATTGTTGCGGTTGTCGCTTGTCCCCGTTTTTCGTTCGCCCTCGATGGAATCGGTAGATGCCAGAGTCCCTCCTCCTGCACAACTGAATGCAACCAGCAGACAGAGAGATACTCCCAATGCTTTCTTCATACGCACTACTACCATGGTTAGCAGGCCGCTACTGTAGACCACCAGTGTGATGGTACTGATAATGGATGAATGTCAACAGGAAGCCGTGAGGACGAGGACAAAGGCGGAACCGTCAAAACCACATCCCTATTTGCAACGGGTGTTCTGGAGCCAGCCGGCTTGCTTTGGAGCCGTCATGGAAAACCGCCAGCGCAAAAAAGCCGACGAAACCGAATTTACGGTGGACTGAAGGCAGGCAAACGCACCAAGGACACAATGCCACAAAAGCATAGGTCCGTTGCGTTCAGCATAAACAACAACGAGTCTGTATCATGAGCGAGACAACCACTACTACAGGCACTGCCAATGGTGCAAGCAATCCTGATGCACCCAAAAGACTCAGTCTGAGGAACCGACAGGAGGAGCAACGCATACAGAGCATCATACTGGACTCCCTCACAACCATTGCTGTGGCTTATGGCTTGTACAATTACCCAGGCTATTTCAATCCCTGGGGGTTGTCACTGTTCCAGTGGTTGTGCGGAGTTGTTGGGATCAGAAGTGCCGTCTTCTTCTATGACAATATGGTGTTAATGCTACTTGTGGAATTTGTGTGGGGTGGTGAAACCAATCTGCTTCCAACCCGAACCACAGGCAAACCAGTTCGATATGTTTCCCTGGATACCAAATCCATCATCTTCTTGGTGATTAATGCCTTTCATGAATGGTTGTTTGTTTCAAGACTGGTTCACTATCTCTGGCATTCACCAGATGTCCCCTTACGATGGCAAGAGCTTGGCACTCTCAACTCTCTGGGGTCTTTGGCAGTCATGTTTGTGGTCATTGATCTCATTTATTCTCCATGTCATCATATCCTACACCTACCCTGGTTATATCCACTCATTCACAAGCATCATCATCGACAACACTTTCCTTGCCGTGGCTATTGGGATGCGGGAAATGAGCACCTCATTGAGCATATCATAGGTGTTTTGGCCGCCTGGGGAGCCATCCTGGCAGCTACTCATGGGCCCACAGGAGCTCATGGGATTACCATTTTCCTATTCTTCAATATTCACGCGGCACTGGCTATGCTCAATCATTCACCCTACAATGTGGAATTTGATATCATTCCCGGAATCATGACATACAAAGTCGCCAATCATGAAATGCATCACCGCAAATTTACAGTCAACTATGCCCAGTACAATTTGATGTACGATCATTTAATGGGAACCTATGCCCCCTATGAGGGACCAACTTCAGCAGCCGAAGTGGAGAAAAAGAAAGAATCTTAACCATGCAAGAAGACAAGCTTCTCTCAGAGTTCTCAGTGCCATACATGTTTGGCTGGATTTCTAAGGTTTTTCCTTCCTTTGCCATAATCTCAATCATTTTTTAGAAATATCCCACCAGTGAAGTCAGGGGAAGCTTTTCGTTTTATGGGCTGTATGCCTTATACTTGATAAATATATGTAGATTCGGCATCGACTCGTGCGGAAGATTCCATCTAGCCAGCACGACACGGAGAGCAACCCCTTGTGACATTGTTCCAAGAGCCTTGCTCGGTTTGAAATTGAGAGCATCCCTTGTGGCATCTTTCACCAGGAGCCTCGTTTGATTCCCGTGGCTGCAGCTGTCAAACTGTAGGTCGCTGCGATCGCGCCTGAGCAAGATGAGAAGCCACTGGAGATTCCTGACGGCACTTACGAGCCATGAATTGGTTGCCTGAGCGTCAACCTCGAGGACGCAGATAGCCCGCCATTGTAGGCCCAAGCACTCATGCAGGACGAGAGCATACTCAGGGACTGAAGCTCTACATTCTTGAAGACCGGCATGGTAGCTACCGGTAGGTCGCCTTAGAACTCGGCCTAAACTAGCAAAGAGAGCCAGCCAAACTAACTCTTGATATTCCATCGTGCTACCTGTACTGGTACGGTTTCTTTAGGCTGGAGGACATGTTCAAGATCACTTAAAAAAATAATACAATTATGCATGATTCTGCTACATGTATGCATTACTGATAGCAATCGTTTTCTATTCGTACACACTGTAGTAAAACAAAATCTGAGCGGTCCTGCGCTGACCGGAAAGAACCCACCTCCAAAGCCAACCTCTTTTAGCATGCATGTCCTTGCCGGCAAAGGGGTATATGAAGTGGGTATATGCAGTGTTGCTTGTAGTGATGGAAGAAAGCTTCCATTTTGTACCAAGACATGCATCATCACCAAATGCCTGGACTCCTTCTTCTAGCTAGGCAGCAATGCTGGCTGTTACAAACTTCCCACGACGGCTGACCCGTCCAAGACGAGCACCGTCTGCCTTTTTCTGGTCCAGAATCTTGCCAACTTGAGCATTTTGCAATTTTTGGCGAGTTTTTTGGATGTCGGCAGGAGAGCTGTTCCGTCGGGACTTGCCATCATTGGTCTTGGTCCGTGTCCAAATGGCGTCTGATAAGGCTTTCTTGATAGTAACAGAGCCATTGCTGTTGTGTCGTTTCACGCCGCCACCGGTGGAGGCAGCTCTCTTGACTTTCTTCTTCTTCTTGTCGTCAATAAACATGGATGATTCCTTACGGAACTGATCCCAGCTGTCGTTATCTTCTTTGCTTCGAGAGGGCATGGTGACTGCAGTTCTGTAACAACGTTCGGTTCTCTTGTGATTTGGTTGGCAACTTGAAAGTTATGAGGTGATGAGAGCAAGTCCGAGACAACAATAGCGGATGTTCCAACGGCAACAATAGATAAGCAAGGGGAGCAAAAACAAGATTGGTCGTTAAAATGAGCAAGAAGATCTGGGAGTGGCGGAGAGGTCATATTACCAAAGCTCACCTTTGTTATGAGGGTCTTTTTGGGAAGCCTTGCCTCTGCTGGTTAACGGTGTACGGTATGATACAGTACGGTATGAGCTGTTCCGTACACGGTGCATTGTAGCTCAGGGTACGTACTACTAGCTACTGGCTAGTGGTACGACGTACCCGTTCCCGTACCGGTACCATCACAATGCTTCACCGACACCTTGGGATCCACCGTACACTGGTACGGGTCACAGCCTTTACCGCATGCAGTGTTTAGCTTCAACCATGTTTAACGCCAAGAAAGAAAAGCAGTCACAAACAAGTTCGGGGGGTGGAAGTTATTACGACAAGCTAAATGATGCAGTTCAACCAGTTCTTGGAAATTGGAAAAGATGCCATCGGCAGTTGCCAGAGATCTTATGGCACACGGGAGGCTCGATGGTGTACGACGTTCGGTCTGTGGCCTGGTGATGGTGGTAGAACCAACTGAGCTCCTTCAGTTGGGCAAACCTGTCATGGTCTGGCCACCAATTTGTACTGTGGCAGGCCCTCTTTTGCTCTGGCTTGGCTAGGCGCTGCAATCACAGGCACCTGCCTACAGGAAGCTTCGATTTCATTGATGCAAACGCGAGCCGAGCCACTTGGTACACTTCTACGTGCACATGCAGGAAGGCCCATTACGGACAGAAGCCCATAGCGCCGGCAACCCTTTCAGAAGATTTATGGGTCATCGCCGGCCGCTTTTTATCACCCGACATCATTGAGTACTATTTTTGGCACAGAGAATTTCTACAGCACCTAGTCCGTAGCTTTCACTACCAGCATTTACAGGTTGCTGGGTGGCTTCTCCGTGGAAAACATTTCGTCAACGCTCACTCCAGCTTTGAATCGAAGTAGTCAATAATAGTGGCAGCCAACACTCCGTCCATCGCGATCTGTTCCATCGACACTGTGTTGCTGTCACTGTTGTGGTTGCTTCAAGTTGTTGTTGTTGTTGCTGCGGCAGCGCGTTGCTATTATCCTCCGCGTAACAACAAAGTCGCTATACTCCTCATCTCGACAACTCCTATGGCGACGATGGATATCGTTTGGGTTCAAGCATGACATAAATCGGAAGAGATAGCTGGAAATCGTCCCTCTGTTTTGTCGTATCATGATGTCTACCCCTCCACCACTGCCCCCTCGACCTCCGTCTCCCTCGGGCCTCGACCAGGATAAAGCCCTCGTTCGTAGAACAAGTTTCTTTGATACCCCTGATGGGATCATGTCTCGAATGGCCAACTCCTGCCGTCATAATGTAATTGATTTGGGAGCTCGCGAGTGTCCAGAATTCCCAAGTGCTCTCGTTCGTCCAGGAGAGTTTATTATGATGGAGACGCATCCTGAAGGTCCTGATGGGTTCTCTGGAGAACTCGGTCAAGTGATTGACATGGCTGACTTTCGAGATATTCCAAGCATCGAAGTCAACCAGGCATTCAATCGATTCAGAGACCCCAAGGACAGAATGGTTCTTATCCGTCTTGTTGAGCCACTCAGCTTCCATGCCAGTTGCAAAAACAAGATCAACCCTTCGGACTATACCTTCATTCACGAGACGCAACAAGAGGTCATTCTGAGCTGTCGACTGAGGTGGTTGTCTCCATTTCGGATTGATTGCATTGCTTTTATCTTTCACCCTGATTTTATTGAGGCTGGTGTTTTCCAGACGGCCGGCATCACGAATGCATTCATGTGCAACAAGATTGCTTTGTCTGATGATACCTACATGACGATTGAAAAGGACTCTGACTACCTTAAACCATTCTTCTCTCCATACAATGCACAGGACCCCAAAACTGGCAAAGACATCTATACTGTCGAAACCTATTCTCGTCGAATGTGGAATTATATTACCGCTGCAAACGTCATCACCACTCGCAAGATGGCGGGCAAGAAGGGCAACTGGGAAGGACGTACTCAGCGCTGTCACTTGCCTGGCTGGTCAAAGGAGTTCTACGAGTTTATTGTCGGTGAGATGTCATTGATGAAACAAACAGACCAAATTGACTTCATCTTGGAAGATATCGTCCTCAAACGGGCAAAGAAAGTTCACAGTCCAGACCTCTCTGTTGCAAAGAAGAAACGAGCGATGAATGTCTCTTTGTTTCGTATCCTAGAAGAGAAAGAGTTGGACCAGGGAAGGCGTGTGTTAGGATCCACCTTTGGAGTTGCAACCACAAAGAATGCTCCCACTTTGGCTGATGTCAAAGCTGCAGCAACTGCCCAAAAACCACAGCCGGACACTCTCAAACTCGAAACAGGAGATCAGGTTCGTATTGTAACGTGTGCAGCTCAGGAGAAAGATGTACTCGATGATCGCGACAGACGGCTTGCCAGTGCTTTTGTTGTCGATGATGAAGGTGCTATTGTAAAGGCCCCGTATGATCGCAAGGGGAAGCAACCCATGTACTTGTCTTTTCCCGGCATTGATATCTTGTACGAAGACAGCTACTCTTTCACAAACATGCAATTTGCTATGAAATTCAAGAAGCTTTTGGGAAGTTCTAGTTCTGTTTTGAAGGCATTGAATGCGGGCAAACCGGTGCCGGCAGTGGCAGAGGCACGCATGGAGTCCATCAACGATGACAATCTTGCTGTTGGTGATGAATTCAGATACAGAGACTTACTTTATTGTGTTACTTCCATTGATCCGGAAAACAAAAGGGTAGGTGCTAGGCCTACGTGGGAAGACTCAGATGATGACGAGACTATTTTGGAGTTGGAGGAAGCTACAGTTCTTGTGGCAGCTGAAGTGACAAACAGCACAGCTTACCGTGGCATGACTACTCCTGAGAGAAGCTAGCTCGACAACAGCCTCAAGCACACTTGCAGGATAATCGAATATATTATAATAAAAAGCTGATTTTCAAGCCAACTAGAAACTGGGAATGACTGGGACTGACATTTATAGAAGAGCATTTCCTGGCTCCGCTACTTCATCCTCAAATAAGTCTTCCAGTGGCACATGGCTTTGACTTCCTGTTTTTGGCACCTCAACAGCAACTTCTTCTAAGTAACTGCTTCTATTCTGGGACTCCAACTGTGATTCGCTATTGTTGATATCCAATTGATATTCTCCGTTGTCTTCATTGGCTGCAATAGTTTGCGTTTGGAAGAAAGCATCCCCATGACCGAGTCTCCACATCAAGGAACGTTGACACATTCGCATAAGGGGACGGACATGATCTCCTCTAATCATGTCTCCATTTGAATTGCCAGCACAGCCACCGTGGTTTGTGTTGTTGAAATAAAAGTGCTTCAGTTTCTGGTTCATTGCTTCCCATCCTTGTTGGGAGAACTTGTAGAGGTTGCCATATCGCATCAAGTAGTAATGGAGATGTCCAGACCCAATCATATGGATATAGTTGGTGATCCCCTGTCCATCGAACAAGGTCACGTACTGTGTCATAAATCGATTGGCCATCAAATGAAAGGAATCAAGATCTTGTGTAGTCACATCTTCCTTTTGTCTAGCCATAGTCATCAGTGGCTGGTAACCATCCATCAAATCATGCCACTGTTTCAACAAAGCTGCATTGTTGGCTCGAGTAATGGTAGGAGTCCTAGACTTTTCATCAAACTGTTGAGAGAAGATTAGGGTGGCAAGTGTCTTCATACCTCTAACACACTTCCTGGATTGAGTGTTTGTCATTGTCCTTGGTTCAACCTGTTTTCCTCCATCCCTTAAAGGAAAGGTCCACTGCGCAGACCGCCCATGATTTTCATCGCCGAGGATGCTGTCTTTGACACATTCAGTCACCACTTTGATCATCTCCTTTCTGACTTTTCCATCCGCCTCTTGGTATCTATCTAAAGCTTGTGACAGAAGAGACCAAAAGAGTTTTTCGTTGACTCTCATTTCCAAATGTAGGATGCACGGAATAGCCTCCTCACACAGCAGCTTATCAGTCAGGGAATTCACTTGATCATGTCTTGTAAGAGTTTGTCTAGCAAGCCAAAGTGTGTCTTCCTTTGCCACAAGACTTTTCAGTAGAGCACGTCGATCATCGATGGATCTATTCATTGCTTCTCTCAAAGCTGTTTTGTTAGATCCCAATCGTAGCTTCAGCTCTGAACGCAGGAAGTTCTTGTACCCTTTCATGTCTAAGTCTGTCAATGGCACAAAGTCAATATGAGTCTTGTCGGATGCCTTGTCAACTTGGTGTGGGTTGGTTCGTAGGTTGCTTCGCTTCGAGACGGCCTTGAGTTTCTCATATCCATCATCTACTGCGTCTTCCACATACTTCTTGAGTACTTCCCTTGTGCTCCCAAGGAAGGTTTGGTCGTTGACAGGATGACAGAAACACTTTCCTACCTTCAATCGTTGACAAGTGGGGCAACGATTGGAACCAGTTTGGAAGAGATGCTTTTGATGGTTATGGCACATGCAGGCATAGCAAAAGAGAAGAGTTTGGTGAGAGCCTCCACCCAAACCAGTTGTCTTCCAAATCGATGACATGTCTTGGGGAGACACGATATTGAAATTGGACAACTCGGGAAGATCTCCCAATGATGGAATGACCAAACCACCATTAAACAGAGAGTGAAATTGATGGAAACAGTCAGTGTAAAGGTCTTTGCAATCTCTGCCAAAGGTTATCTGACAGGGAAAACATAGATCTCTGGATTGGTACAGGTGGTCCAAAAACAGATTCCTTCCAGTGATTGGATCAACAGCTCTTGGATCGATAATCTTGACTCCAGCCGTGACATGGCCAAGGTGAGCAGTAAGCTGAGCTCCATCTAGCGTATGAGCCAGCAACACAGGCTCTGACAAGCTGCCAGTCTCAGCATGGTGATCTAGTCCAAAGCCAGCAAGGATCATTCTCAAATAGATCTCGAAATCAAATCTCAATGTCGGACCATGGTCATTGATTGTTTCAACGATACTGAGTCCAAAGTCTTCTTCGGCATGTTGCTCTAATTGCTTGGCGGTTCTTGCTATCGTTGTACCATGCGGAATGACACCATCTTGGCTACTCTTTGGTAGCTCCTCCACTCCACTGCGCAAGCTGTTGCAAGCTTCATAGTTAAGGCCGCCAGTAGCAAAAAGATCCATTGTTCGTTGGAACTTCCAAGCCTGCATTCTTTCTTTCCTAATCAGTTGGCTGGATTTTTTCAATAGAATGTCATGAAAGAAATCTGGAAATGTAGTCAAGAAATAGCCAAACACAACCTCCACAAGTGCCTTGGCTCTGCTGCGCAACCAACGTGATGGGTAAACAAAGCCGATCACAGACCAAATGACTCTGGCAAATAAGTCCAAGTTGATACGACGCAGCTTGGAATTGCCATTCTTCTTGTCTTTGCCGATTTCATCCATGACCGCCTTGTGAAGATCCTTGTCCAGTTGTCTTCCTTTCGAAGTGTACCAACGGAACCAAACAGAGCTGTTTACTAGGGATTGTTGTGATGGAAGTGTAGAGCGGGGTTTGGTGTTGGTGACTGGAATAGACTTGAAAGAATTATCTAATAGGCGAGAGGGGAAGTCTCCTGCTGTGGCGACAGAGGTTGAAGTGCGGACTCCATTTTGCTTCCTTGTCAACTTGGTGGCGGTAACGGCAGCGACACCAGTAGGATTGCCAAGTAGTGGATTGGGGGCAGTCAACAATGCAGTCGCTGCAGTAGTAGCATTGGTTTCTTCGCGCGGAGAAGTGACGGTACTTGTTGCAGCGGTGATAGCAGTAGGTGCTTCGGCGCGAGAGGCTTTTGCAGATCTAGCTCCATTCGAAATGTCACCAAGAGCAGATCGTTTGCGAGGTCTTCTGGGAGGAACAATCTCTTCGGTCCTGTCGTCCTCGTCGCCGGAAGAATCCGGAATGATAATGGCTTTTCGCTTCTTTCCCGAGTGTCGTGCAGAACGACGAACACCGGAATACTCCTCAGCAGGAGCGGGTGGAACAGGGGCATCAATAATAACAGGCAATAGCTGTACTTGCTTCGAAGGAATCCTGCAGCGATAGTCTCGAGAGAGTGACTGCTGCGGCCGGCCGAGGAAATAAGTCTGATGTTGAACAGTTCGATAGAGGTCACACGCAGAGCAAGACACTAAACCAATGGCAAGACACGTCTCTCGTTCAAACCATGCGCAAGTGATTGGAAGGGTAACAGCAATGCCTGGCCTGGCAGGGCCAACAAGGACGTTTTCGACAGAGGATTCCTGCTCTCTTGTTCTTCGAGTAGTGGCTGCAGCAGCCACTGCAGCTGTTGCCATGATGCGCCGCGATCCAGTCGATGGGACCTGACAGATCAACCAAAAGAATCGAATCAACACAAGAGTTTTCTTTCAGTCTGGGAAGCCCGTAAGAACCAGTAACCTTAACTCAGCAACAGCAGCAAGAAGAAGAAGAAGAGGAACTTGAACTACACTCAGGCCGGTTCACCCAGGCAGTTTTCGCAACCGAGATGCTGAGATGCTTGGACACACCATCCACTTGCTCAACGTTTGGCTGGCTATCATCCATGTCCCTACCGGTATGACATAGTATCACTCATCATTAAAATTAAATTTTTGCAACGCTGCAAACGGGATAGCCACCGTACCGTTAATAGTCTACTGTCTACTGTATTGATACCTTCTCAGAGTGAATAGAAAGCGTGTCGTTGACTTTGTCGTTCATGCATGCCTTTATTTAAAAAACAGACAGCTTCTATTAACTTATTTATTAAAGGTGTTTACCTTCAAATTTGAGGAAAAATATTCATAACTACAAGACTACATGTACGTCTAAGTTTACTGGTACTTTTGCTCCATATGATTTATGAGCACTTGCCGTACCGTCACCAAAAGTTCCGATGCGAACTCCATTTCCTCATTTTTAAGCTTTTTCGAGAACCGCAAAAAGCAAACGAACTGGCAAGCTCTTGCATTGATACAAGCCACCAGCCACAAGCTACAACATGTACCGTATGTGGACTCGACTGTCACTCTACCAGCTACCTGTAGGTACCAGCCACCGTCAGGCATGGACTCGACTCGTTACCTCTCCATTCTGACTGGGTGCTTCCTGGGTCCAGGTCTTAGATTCGATTGAATCCTTCGATTCTCCTGGCAGCCCACGCAACTGATCAAGTTTCCCAGTTTCCTTGTATCATAATTTCTACCCTCACCAAGTGTTCGAAAGTAGCTCGAACGGAAAAGCCCAAGAGCCGAAAATCTCAACAGAAAAGGTCCTCTAAATCGCTGCCCCCGACATCCAAGTCCTTTCACCATCCATCATGCAAGCAAGAAGTCAATCTCAACGCAAAATGCCTCCGAAAGCCAGATCCTTGTAAGTCCAGATCTATCTCCGTTGGTTATATGCATAGAGACTGATAAATCGGCTCATCTTGTTATCTCTCTCTCTCCGGCGGTTAGCACGATGTTGGATCTTTTCAACAGCTCCTTCTCTAGATCTTTCAGAGGCAGCAGCAACAAACTCTCAAATTACAGCAACCATGCAAGAGATGAACAGAATGTCTTCTGTGCTGACTTCGTTTCAACCGAGTTCATCATTGACAATCTGAAGAAAGTCAGGAACAACAATGATGTAGTCAATATGGAAATTGAAGACCTCTTAACCAGTTCACACCATTCCCTGCTACCCTTCATCAAAGCTTTGCTGATCTCTGGGAAAAGGGAATGGCAGTCTGTCAGATTTGTTGATGATGTGGAATCTGATTTGTTTGCATTGTGGCAAACCCAGAAGCAAACCATCATGCAAGACTATGAGGAATCTATTGATGATTGCAGCAAGTACAAGGACATTGTCTCCTTCAATGCCAACATTCATGTTGCTCAGGGAACACCCTACTATGTCTTGAGGGATATCCTACAATGCCTTAGACAAAGCAAGGACAAGACTATCGCCAAAGTCACCTTTGAAGGCAGCTTCGTTGGGATAGACACATCCCTTTTGCCATCCATGATCAAAAAGATTATAGACCCTGCCACAGGAAAGACAAAAGAGGAAATCATTATTTCTGTTGAATCTGGTTGGTCCAAGTGCTCCGCACTTGATTGGAAGATGACATTGAATGCTTGCTTGCGACAACTGCAGCAACCGATGGATGCAGCCACTGCTTCTGCCATACCAACAGAGACAGTCGGGGCACAAACACTTAATCCACACCTTCAGAAGGCATCCACTAGCAAGGCGCCACTTAGACGAGTGAGGACATCTGAAGGGCCACATGGCATGAAGAGGAAGCACTCGCTTCGCAGACTTAAGTCTGTCAATGATAGTTCCTCTCCAACTGGTCCGCAGAGGTCTGTTTCTTTGCCTTTGCAGAAAAGAGAAGCACAACAAGACATTGGGGGCAGTGCTAACATGTCAAAGCCAACTGTGGAGCGGAAGTCTCGAAGACAGAGGCTCTCTAGCAACCAAAAAGCTCCCAAACAGCCAAAAGACATGTCCTCAAAGTTAGGTTGTACTGACAGCCCCTCTTCGTCTTCAAAAGCCCACTTGTTTTCTGGGAGTGCAGAATCACCCGACTATGATTGGAAGATTGGTGTATACCTCAACAACAATGATCACCAGAATACGATTGGAAGATTGGTGTATACCTCAACAGTATATGCTCCCAAAGCAGCCTAGCAATTGGTTTGCTTCACATATTTTGACTCCTGATCAAGAGCCACACCAAATCAGCGCTGCTAGGAGGGGAGAGCCGAGGTTATACTAATGAAGTAGGAGACCGGGAGCACCCCCCAAAGCAGGTCTTGGTGTGCCACTAGTTCAAATCTTGTTTGGCTGTGTGTTTGTTTCATTGCATAGGGAGTTAAACCCTAACAAAATGATAGAACTACCATGTACCATGCATTTATTCAATTCCCTATCTGCCCTATGCTAGATCTAGTAGACTGTTTTGGGTTTTATGTTGTGTAAATTATGAGCTGTTTAGCTAGATCCAGACAGGTATATAACCTGTCTGGCCAAACCTGCATTGGCTGGACTGAGCCTGCCATGCAGTCATGCCTATTGCACTATCCCTATGGATTTCGGCTTGCAAACTCCATCCATCTAGCCTTTTATTCTAGATACACACAATTGTTCCATCATGGAGATTCAACCACCTAGCATGGGGCACATTATCTTAAGACTCCTTCTCTTTCTCCACTTCTGCCACTGAAGGTGGTCCTTCATAGGGGGCAAAAGTTCCCACCAAGTTATCGTACAAAAACAAATGTTGAGCATAGTTGATGGTAAACTTGCGGTGGTGCATTTCATGATTGCCGGATTTGTATCTCAGTAGTCCAGGAATGACATCAAACTCGACATCATATGGTGCATGATTGAACATGCCCAATATTGCATGGATATTGACAAACAGGAAAATGGAAATGCCATGAGCTCCTGTGGGTCCATAAGTAGCTGCCAGTATGGCTATCCACATACCCCCAACACCCAAAACAAAATGTTCAATTGGGTGTTCATTTATAGCATCCCAATAGCCTCGAGTGGGATAATGTTCTCGATGATGATGTTTGTGGATGAGCGAATAATTCCAGGGTTGGTGCATCAGGTGGTGCATGGGTGCATACCACAAATCTTGGACTATGAACATGATGGCCAATGACCCCAGCAAGCTGAGAATGTGAAATTCTTGCCACTGCAAGGGTGTGTGAGGTGAATGCCAGAGAAAATGACCCAGTTGTAAGAAATACACCCATTCATCAAAGGTGTTAATCATCAAGTAGACACAGGATTTGGCATCCAAGTCAGCAGTTCGAACAGGTTTGGGTGTTGTTCGGGTTGGGAGCAAGTTCTTGCGGCCACCAACCACAGTTTCCGCAAGTAACACAAAGATCACATTCTCATGCACACATACAAGACCTCTGAGCAACGCAGCTCCAATCAACCATTGCACCAGTGACATTTCCCAGGGATTCACCAAGCCAGGGTATTTGTAGGACAGGCAGCCAACAGCTACTGTGGTGAGCAAATCAAATAGGATGCTCTGTAGTTGTTGCTTGTCCCATTGGTTCCTTGGACAGGGCATCTTGGGTGCAGCACCGCTTTTCGTGGCATCAGTGGTACCTCTACTGATACCGGTAGTGCGGGCCAATGTCTTGCTGGTAGCTGGGGACAATGTCTTGCTGCTAGTTATTGTGGAGGTCGTTGATACAGATATTTTTGACCAGGGATCGAGAACAATGCATGCGGGATGGACCCATGTGCAACGCAGCTAAGGATCCATTTCGATTATCATCGTCAGAGACAAAGGTGAGGCAAGCTTCGAGCGGTGAGCGACGAGGATCGACATTCACTTCGTTCGTACCTTGTAGTTCCACTGATCGTCGTCCTGATCTTTCCCAACCGGCGCCTGAGTTACCGTCGTCTGGTTCATGGTATTCCCGTCCGTCATAGTCATGGTGGCGTGCTTTTTACTTTTGGTTTGCTTTGGATGCACTGTGCTTGTAGTATTGATTGTTGGGTTTTATCCTGTATGAGCTTCGAGATCGGCAAGGGCAAGATTGATTGATTGATTGATTGATTGATTCTCATTCGAAGTTCGAATGATACGTTTTTGGCAGCTTTCCGTGATCACGAATGATATGGCGCTCCATGTTCAATCCATGCATCCATCCGTCCTTCAATCCGTGTACAGTACTGGAGCTCTCTGACCATTTGAAGCCCTTGGTGCCCTGACAGCCTGTGTGATAGCTGCCGGTAGGTTGTTTGGGCTGTTCGGGGGTCGCGGTTAGCTTGGAAGCGACCCACGCGGAACACAATGATATCACACGGCCGGTAGCAAACATGCAAAACCAAACCTAAACGCGGCGCATTGCCGTTCGATTGATCGTTCGAAGCCGTTTATTGCACGGGAATGCGCTACTCGGGACTCATTGTAATAGGTTTTGAGCTCTATTTCGATCAAAGGATGAATGGACGCAGGAGACGAACCATGGCAACACTTCTTCGACGGAGCCAACGAATTGAGTTGGCCACTCTTCATTCAGTAACTACTATAACGTGCTATTGTCATCACCATCATCATGGCTGCCACTCCCACTGAAGACGAAATCAAGGCTCTTGTAGCATCTGCGTCTCCCTACAGTCCCTCGAATAAGGTCAAGCTGGAGGCGTACTTGCGAGCACAGGCCACCGGAAACGCTGCTTATTCGTTTGAAGCCAATCGCATTCTGATGAAGTTGTATCAATTCTTCCCTACCACTGCTACCGTGGATGACAAGGAAAAGGAACGGACCAATTCATCCCTCTCCTTGGTCTTGGCATTGCTGCAGTACCCCAATACCACGGATCTTCTAGCACTCAGTTGTCTGATCCCTGAACGACTCAAAGCCCAAGAACCTTGCGCCAGCATTCTGCAATGCGCCGAATACTTGGATGCCTGCCAATTCACCGAATTTTGGAATGTCTGGAAATCTCTGGAAACCAATACTCATGCAGCCATTGCAGCTGTTCCTCTGACCAAACATCATGCAGTGCTTCAGGCTGGAATTTGCTCGGTATTGGCACTCACCTATCGAACGGCGCCGCTCAAAACGGTCCTGGCCGCACTGGACATTGCCTCGGGGGCAGAATTGACCAGTCGCCAAGATTTGGTGGGAATTGATAAGGCAGATGCCAGCAATGTCTATTTTGGTGCCACTGCCGACAATACCAAACGAAATCGAGTCTTTCAGGATGTGGACTTTACCTCCATTTCCAATCTCATGGCCAAAATTTCCAAGGAGTAGACATACATGTACTACTATTAATAATAAAAGTTGGAGAGCAGGAGTAAACAAAACACTAACAGCTACATATCTCACACAACATTGACTTCAAGGTAGCCTCAATGACTGGAGCTTACAACAACAGCCAAATTCTGAAATTAGTCGTCTAACTTGAAAGCAGCCCTTCAACCCAAATTTCCAAATGAACACGCAGGTTCTTATCGTTGTAGTACACTGCTATTTGCAAACAGAATGCGGGCTTGGAAGATCCAGCTAGCTAGGGGCTACTACATTGATCAATACAGACGTTGCATATAGCTGATCTCCGGTTTTGTCGTTCTCCCCTTCCTCTACTTTCCTCCCCTCTTCTTTCCTTGAGAAGTCACCTTGGAACCTTTCTCGTAGGTTGGTGAATCGGTGGCGCAAGGTTCTCGTCCAGCCTACCAGTACCATCGCAGGTCTTCATCGATGTCGTGATCATCTCGTGTACCGTACGGGGTGGTCAATGCTCTGAAAATACCTAAAGGAAGAATGCCAACAAGCAAGCTAAAGCTTGGCAACATATGTGTTCTACTATACGAAACCACGGGTACAATCCAAGTGTCTGACTACAGTCTACGGTACGGTATCGGTACGGTAGTGTCCAATGACCAAAACCACCCAACAAACTCAAGTTTCACACCCGTGAAACTGTCAAATCGTGACAGCCCAGAGCTCAGCGCGCCCGTCCTTACACGCTCACAAAGGACTTTTGATGATCGACCCCAGAAACGAGCAGAGTAGAGTACTTCCACCTGCCGCAGTAAAGTAAACCCTCGCCATGGGTGCATGCTCAAGCAAGTCGCAAGAGCTTGCCCTCGATGAGTCAATGAAAGACTTCCGACGAGAGATGGAGTTCCGACGAGAGATGAGACAGTCATTGTACAAAATCGATTCGAACGTGAGATTGCTTTGCGAAAGCACGCTCTGTCCAACTGCGACGATGATGGCAAAAGGCCTTCACTGTATCGATACTTGTAGGAACGAACCGAATTGGCCATGGCCTCCATGTGAAACTTGAAGGATCCGAGCTCTTCATCCTCACCGCGGCACACGTTGCGTGTAGGTTGATGGCCAAGGAAGACGTCTCGGTCGAGTGGTTTCCTTGGAAAGACAATGCACATGTGGCAGGGTTAGACGTGAAGGATGTGTTCATTCCACGATCATGTGTTGAGACGGGTCAAGCTGATGTAGGCCTTATCCAAATCGAGTTCCTTGGCGTCAACGTGGAAGAAAGCATGGAATCACATCCCATTCTCGTGTCCGACCATCACCAGGTTGGACAAACGGTTGTGGGTGTCGGTTCAACCGCATTCCATATCAGGGGAGATCATATTTTCTCAGAAAACGAGCGAAGAATGGTCAACTCACCCTCCAGACCTGGCATGAGTGGTTGTCCCCTGTTTGATTCGACTGGCGCTGTCTTTGGGGTGGTCCATGGTTCCACCAAGCATCGTGCCAGCACTCTGCGTAATGCAACGGACAGTGGCGGTCAACCTTCTTCCTTCTTGTACTGCGACTATCCCTTGAAAGTCAAGCACACGCTGCTAAAAGTCGGTCAACGTTGGTGCGTGGCACTTGAAAAGGCAGAGGCATTGCCCGAAGAATTCTCTGATGGCTTGATGGCCGAATCGCTCGACAGTAGTGATATATTGAACGACAACCATCGAACATTCGTAAAAGACTTTGGAGCCACTCTGGAACTCGACAAGAAAGAAATCCAAAAGTTGAGCATGAACGGAATGATGATTGACCTCGCAAACAAGAGTCTACCTAACGAGGAGTCGGAACGGTTGGAACTACCCGGGGATGGAGAACACATCGTGGTGTTAACCCCAGTTCGAATGCAGGAGACTACAGGGATACCAACCTATCCATTGTCACAGGGCCACTCGAATGGCATCCCAGCCGTCACTCCTTCTCCCGAGAAACTAGGCGTTGGGGCAAGTGAACAACCACAGTAGAGTTTAGGGGCTACGTGATTCATGTGTGCTACTTTGGTGCCACAAAAGACACTTCCAAATGGAAATGTTACCCTCGTCATCCTTTGGCGACTAAAGCAGATTGTCTGACATGGTTAACTAATTTAGCTACCCCTCCAGCTTCCATGTGTCATCTTGACAGAGTTCCACCAACTCCAAACATCGTTCACTGGGTATCAGTTTCCGATGACCCTTGATCTCTCGAATCACCTTGTCCATGCGTCGTTTTCGATCCCCCAGCTTGTATCCAAATCTGGCATAGGTTTCGAGCAGCAGTTCGTACGAACGCATGTTGGGAGCACAGGGGTTTTCCTTGATATATCGACGGTACTTGTTCATATCCACTAACAATCGTTCGACTTGCGTAATGGGCGTTGATAGTTTGTAATGTCGACTAATCGACCAGGCCTGCAAGACGGCATTGTACGTTTCCACAGTCGGAGACGGCAATACCTTGAGACGTGGGTTGTCTTGTCGTTCCAGTTCGAGCATTCGTTGCAGAATGTTTTCGGCACTCTTGGCTCGACGGTATTCAGGAACGCATCCCCAGGCGTGAATCACCAAGAGACAACTGGTTTCATCCGGTTGGCACCATGCAGCCGTGTCACTCGGTAAAGAAGTTTCCACAGAGGATGATGTTGTCTCAGGTTCTTCCAAGTTGAGAGTTTTTTGTTGACATTGGCTGACCCATTTGGAGAGCACCAGACCCGCTTCAAATCCCTTGCCTTGATGTGACATTGCCGCGAGGACATGATTGTACATGCTGGTAGTGGGAAGCGGCAAATGTTGACGGTAGATTGTTGTGGCCTCATTGCTGCTTCTGTGTGGCGCAATGAGACGATCCAACAGTGCCTTGGCCTTGTCATATGCACCTGCTTGTGCGTACATTTCAATGAGCCAAGAATATACGCTGGGTTGCGGCAGCCATTCTTCGTTTATGCTGGTTCTTGCTGGATCATGATTGTGGCGTTGTGCTCGCCGCCACATGAAATCGACGTTGCCGTGTACTCGTTTGGCGGCATACAAGTAGTCTTTGCTTTGCAGTGTATTGTCGCTGTTTGCCGATACGACGGCAGTTTGCCACGCCAAATTGACCAGATGGCAAGTCTCCGGGTTGGGTTGAATAATTGTCACGGGATTGGCCGCTTTCTTTGGTGCTTGAGTCACCTTGGCGAGAATTCTATTCACTTGCATGCCCGAATCGGGTTTACCCGAAATTGCCCAGCAGCGAAGGACGGTATTCAAACTGTTGGTCAATGTAGTTTGTTGGGATTTGGCTTCTTTGGTTGTTGGCTCCTGAATCTTCCAACCACTAATGAGTTTCCAAAACGAACGTTCGGCTTGTTCTGGATTTCCAGCTGGTGGCTCTTGGGACCAAAGAGAAACTAAAGTTTGATAGCAAGCCACGGAAGGTGGTTGGATGCTCGGATCCTCTTGGCTGAGACGTTCCAGGTCATTGACAATGGTTTCTGCCATAATTTGGGTACGCTCCCCCATACCCACTTTTTGTAATCGATCCAGTATTGCCTCGGCCAAATCTAGCAGAACACCTTCTTGCTCCTGATAGTTTATGCTTATTTCTGTCCAGAGTTGATGTGCATCCTCGAGTGCTTGTGGGTCGTCAGACTTGAGTCTCTCTATTAGCTTTGTGAATTTGTCGTTGTTCGTTGACTTGGATGCATCTGATTTTTCTGACTCCAATGTATCTTGCTTTCCCAATTGTGTGGAAAATTCAGCAGTGCTTCTCCATCCTAACGACCCCTTAGCTGTGTTATTCCATCTACCTAGAGCAGTAGAACTCCATTGTTGTGGAGCTACTACGCCATCATGGTCACGTCCGACGAAAATTGATGCATTTCTTGAGACAACAGAGGGAGGAGGGTACCTTTGACGCCTACGGTATTCACTGATGAGGCCATTAAGACGCTCTTTTCGAGGTAGCGGCAGCGGTCGCATCAAACGAAACATTGTCTTGGATGTGTGGTGCTCTAATAAGGATGGATCATTGTCATCCGCTGCCGCAACTTATTAGATGGTTGAAAGCAACAAATGAATGGATGCGACAACGCAGAATCTTTTGACCAGTAGTTGAGGTAATTCAATTGTTTACCTCGCCCTTAGGAATGAATCTTTCGATTCGATTGAAGATTCGATTGGATTCGAATTGAGATTCTCATTCACACACATACATGTTTAGCGATAGAATGATAGAATGATACCGTACCAACCGTACGTTGTGTCAGTGGAGAAGACACTTTCTGTATTTTCGTTATATCATTGAGTTCTCCCTACCAGTTTACAGAGTTCGCTCGGAAAAAGAAAGCATGTTCAAAGGGAGCTGGCAACCGGCAAAGACCTTCTGAAATGACTTGCTGAGAGTAGCTTGTATCTTCGGGGTGTTCATGATTAGCTAGCTAGCCAACCGGTATTGTGGTACGGTAGCCACTACTGTAATGGAAACTGGTAGGTACCGTAGCGTAGCTAGTAGCTAGCTACAGTTTAGAGCCGAGAGTAGCGTAGCCCCAAACCCCACAGCCTCCGCCTCCATGTTGTTGTTGTTCACTCGCCACTGGTACTGGCAGGGTTGCTTGGGTAACATAGGATGTGAAAACATGCATCCTGCACCTAATTTGCCTCTAGGCTTCGAGTTTCACCTCTGCATGCGCTCTACTGCTATCCCCCCCACCTGCATAGAGGTCCATCCTTTTGCGTGGGCCCAATGATACTCTAGCTCTCGTTGAGCAGGGTATCCCACCCTGTACAGGTGCCCCTTCCACGTGTCTCCAACTAGTGCTTCGAGAACATGCTGTCTTGTCTTGATCCTACTAGTGGTAGCTAGCTAGTCGTTCGGCAACTGTTGCTCAACTCCAAGAATGAAGAAACAAAACACACACACAACTGGGGGATGGAGAAATCCATTGCCGTTCATGGCCGATCAGTGCACACCCATTCCAAGGCAGTGGTAAACAGTGGTCGACAGCGGTGGCAAAAATTGGCAGTGGTAACAGTGGTAAAAACAGTGGTAAACAGTGGTAAAGCTAGCGGTAAACAGCGGTAAAGAGAGCGGTAACAGTGGTAAAGATAGCGGTAACAGCGGTAAAGATATTGACAGTGGTAGACAGTGGTAAGCCATGATGACTTCGCCAAAACCGTGGTGGACAATAATTTGCAATGGATTTCTCCATCCCCCTGAACTCCATGTCCCTCAATCGATGTGCTGGTCAGCGGGAAGCAATGACATTCGAAAGCCAGGAGGTAGGATACTAGTATCCATAATCAATAATCAAGGCTGGCTTCCTTCAAAAAAAGCTGTTTGGTGGCCATGGGGGTACTAGAGTATGGGGGTACCATCCAGGAGAGACCTTCTGGAAGCATCGAAGAATGCTAGAATGCTTCGCACTTCGCACCACTTGCTATCTTGCTTCTTCCCTTTTAATAGTCTAGGTAAAGTAAGTTTTAAAGTTTTTTATCATTCATGGCGTCGATACTAAGTCTTGAAAGAACGTTTGCTTCTGGAACTTCATCCTTCTTCCGTCTTCCGTCGACTTGATATCAACATAATATTATCAACCGAGGTCTGCACAAGTGCACCCGTCACCCAAGACCCTGTTTTCTAAAGAGACATCATGATGAATCCGGCGTTCATGAACAGTCACTCATCGACTCGACTTGACTCATGGTTGATGACATACATACATGTACTCTTGGATGACATACATGTACAAGAGTACATACATACATGTATGTAGCTTGTGGGATGTGGGAATGTGGGAATGCACTTTGGCAGCTAGCTAGTCTCGTAGTCTACTTTGGCGATGAAGGAAAGAAGGATGCAAGGAGTTGTTATGCAAGGATCCACCAATCCACCGATCGTCCTTGCTGCTCTAAATTGCAGCTACTGCATGTACCGTACTAGAGCTACTGCTGTAATAGCTACCGTACTCTAGCTAGTGGCTACGGTGGAGGCTAGCTGGACTGGGTCGTGAGAACGATGACCCGACAAATGACAACTGAAACTGTTGAAGTAACAATGACTGCTTCATTGGTGCTTTAATTCTGATTTCAATACTGGAAGTGCATGGTAGTTTCAAGTTTCATGACTGTACCAACCGGTAACCGGTACGTGTACTTTCGGTAAAAAAATGGAGTGTTTTAGTACTGTAGCCATGCAGACTCCATGCAGAGATCACTGAACGAAGGGGTCGACAAGAGAAGACGTGGTACTGGCACGCAAGATTTTAAAGCTTTACCCTTCTGGCATTTGAACAGTGGCCTGCATGCATGATATCATTGGGTAGGCAGTACCATTCTAAAAGCAGAAGTGGAACCGGTATCAGTTTTTTCCCAGCAGGAGACAATATATATAGTTACTCTAGCCAGAAGTAGTGTTCCGCTTGGAAAGGAATCAACCTCACGTCCCTTGACCATTGAAGACGACGAAGTTCAGGATGCAGCAGAAAGGATCAGAAGAAGATGGCTCCAAACAACTGAGCACATCCAGCCCCAAACGGTCCAGAAGTAGAAAGCGCTTTCAACTTGGTAGAGCCATCAGCACCAGGTTTGGTGGGAATTCGAGTATCGGCAGCGGATCCTGGGGAACTGCCGGAATGAAGCGGTCCAACTCCAAAAAGAGCGTCGTGTCCTGGGATGCCTCTGCTGTCTCGTTGGAAGAGTTTCCTCCTGTTCCAAATCAGCCACGACAACAGGCTACTCACAATGGCGACGACGATGATGCCTCCTCGTATCTCTCGGACGAAGAAAACAGCGAAGGATTGTATGCCCCCGAGCAGTCCTCCCGAAAGACCACCGATGAAGAATCCAAGGATCGAAGTGGTTCTGATCGAAAAGCAATGGAAGGCTATAAACCCAGTAGGATCATCTTTGGGATCGTGGCCATCTTGGTTGTCACTGCCATTGTCCTGGGTTCCTTGCTCTATACCATGGCAGACAACCATGATACTGATGCCTACGAAGCGGCGGTGAGTCTCTTGAATGAACTAACTGGGTTCAACCTGTTTGTTGCTTCCGAATGCATGCCAATCTCACAACCTTTTGCTTGTCTTGCTCCATGATTCATTCATTCAGTTTCAAAATGCCGCCATTGACCTCATTGATGCCTGCGTCGAACAATCCGCAAGCTTGGCCAGTATCCTGCATAGCATCAGCATCACCATGACCCTTTCCGCAGGACGGGATGCTCCTTGGCCACTCTATACCATGAACAATCTGGCCGTCGTGGCAGAAGACTTTCTAGCCTTTGATCCATCCGTGCAACTGGTATACTCTCCCATCGTACATGACGGCGACAACAACAATTCACAACGGGCCGCATGGCAGCACTACAGCGTGGCACACCAAAACCAAGTCATTACTCCCACTTACCCGTACCAGATTACGGAATACATTTACAGTCGCTACAATTTCACCGGAAACGTTCTCTTTCCCGATCAAGAAGGCACGGGACCCTATTCTCCCGTATGGCAAGTCCATCCATTGCCCAACGACTACGAGAGCATTCGACTCGTCAATTTCAACATGCTCAGTGACCCCAAAATGGCCAAACTACTGCAAGCCGCACAAGAAGGCAAAACACACATCTTTAGCGAGTTGGGAGACGACAAGGAACTCTTTGGCATTGTTCAAACGGGTAGTGACGTGTACAAGGAACAACGGCCGCAAAGTCTCTTTGTGGAGCAAGTTCATGATCATTTGGTCGTCGTGGGTGGGAACGAGTCAAAGGTCGTGGGGCATGTCTTTGCCACGGTACCCTGGGATTTGTACTTTGAAAATGTCATTTTGCCCGATAATACCGACACCAGTGTCTATTGCGTCATTCAAAACTCGTGCGGGCCGACCGCCTATACCTACCAGGTGGACCACACGGGAGTCACGTATGTGGGCAAGGGAGATCTGCACAGTGGCCAACACGAACATCCCAATCAACAAGTCGAGTTGTTTCACTATGGGGCGACTTCCGACGAGAATGGAGATCCATGGCAGTGTCATTTGGAATTGGCAATCTACCCCACCGCGGAAATGCAATGGAGTTTTGATACTGGCACTCCCGTCTATTACTTTATGATTGTGGCAATTGTCTTTGTCCTCATTGGAGTGGCAGTGGCATCGCACCATCGAATCTCCGAAGCCAACAAACGAGAAATGCACTTGAAATCGCAACGCTCCAAGGCAATCATAGCTTCCTTGTTTCCCGACCAAATTCGTGAGAAACTGTTTGACTTGGAGGGAGAAGTGTGTATGGACAAGATGCGACTTTTGAACCGAGATGCCGCCAAGTCCATCCGATTGGATCATAATCCCTTGCGGTCCTCACTGCTCATTTGGGGAGGCGAGGAGGATGACCCGGAAAGTCAACAAAATGTTGCCGCCGAGCTCTATCTGGAATGCACCGTCTGCATCTCGGAAATTTGTGGTTTTACCGCTTGGAGTTCCAGTCGTCAGCCCAAAGAAGTCTTCACGTTGCTAGAGACTATCTTTAGGGCGTTTGATAAGATTGCCAAGAACCGGGGAGCGTTCAAGGCGGAAACTGTAGGAGATCAGGTGAGTCTAGAGTCGGGGGGAACTAGCTAACTAGATCATGTATGTGGTCAGATGATGTTGTGACTTTGGAAATCTCATGCCCTTGATTTTTTCGTGGAACTTCCAGTACGTGGCCGTGGCGGGGTTGCCAAGTAAGTGTTCAATGGTATATTGGCCAAAAACTCTTTGAGAGATGATGAAATCTGATTCGTCTCCTTCTGCTTTTGTGTTGCACAGAGGCCAGAGAGGACCACGCAATCGTGATGGCTAGGTTTGCTAGAGATGCAATGGAAACGTTCATTGAACACATCAAAATGCTCGAAGTGTCGCTGGGACCAGATACATCGGAATTAGGTACGTTGCAATCGGTCGAGAAGTGGGTGGTTCCAGAATCGGAAAGTGTCTCATGTCATCCCATTGCCTTCCGCATCTCGCCAACCAATCCAGGGATTCGCTTCGGTATGTCGATGGAAGAAAACCGGCCCCAGAGCTGAAAGAATCAGGAACTGGAATATTGTCATCACTCACAATCTGCACCTACTTCCGATCAATGAACCATGAAACCAACAGGACTGCACAGTGGTCCAATCACAGCCGGTGTACTTCGGTAAGCTTTGTGGCCCTTATCTGGTTTGGTTGACATTGGAAGCATAGTGCTCATTCCTAAAGCTCTTTGTTTTGCAATCAAATAGAGGTGAACGGGCAAGGTTCCAGGTATGTTTGCAAGAGCGAACTTGATAAGGCCGACCGGGTTGCATTCTTTCGGTTTTGTGGTCTTACCCTCTTCTATCTTCTTGCAACGATAGCTGTTTGGGGATACAGGTAAGAACCCCAGAGAGTTGAAAGGGAGGACCTACCCAGGTGCACGCACCACTGTTGGTCTCACCTCGAGTCTTGCTCCTTCCATCTTTGGTTTCTTAGTAATTGCATGCCGAGCAATCGAGTCTAACGGTGGTAAGGACAGGATCCATATCAGTAAAGAAACCGCTGAACTGATCAAAGCTGGTGGCATGAACACGTGGGTAAAGCCTCGCCATCAAAGAAAAGGACGCAAGGAAGCCAAGGAAACGTACTGGTTGCTACCAAAGGGTCCAGGAAGACGGTTCGCTACTGTAGCGGTAAACTCAATTGCTACAAGCGCGGAACTCGCCGAAGAATCAGCTCCTGAAAGAAGGGATTCCACATTTTCTACTGTTTCCAAGCGAGAATCTTCAGAGTATTTGAAGCCTGCAGCCAGGAGGCAGGACCACACCAAGGAAGACAGATTGGAGCGACTAATCTTTTGGAACTCGGAATCGCTGTTGCTTGTCCTCCGCCAAATTGTAGCACGACGAAACGCAAGCGCTAACACAAGTGATTCTAGCATGACTCACCCAGAGGTCCTCACTGGATTGGAAGAAGATTTTGTGGACAACAAAGTTGTAGTGAAGGAGATTCGCGAGGTGATTGAACTCCCCAGATACAACGCTGTGAACCAAGTTGACCCTTCGACGGTGGACCTCGGAGAAAGGGCCGAGTCTCAGCTCCGTGATTACGTTACTCTGATCGCTTCCTTCTACCGGTATGTCTTCATGGATTTGGCTTGTTTGCTGCCTTGTCAGCTTCATCGCTGACCCGGTGTTTCATGGATCCTGCTTTTGAAGAAACAACCCATTCCACAGTAAGTCATGCTATATCAGTTCGCATTTGATGGGTTGGTGGTGTTCGTTTGAAGCAGTAACTCACATGGTCTCGTTTTGCTTGTACCTCATAGACTTCCAACATGCTAGCCACGTCACACAGTCGACCAAGAAGCTTCTGAGCCGTATTGTCGCACCGAAGCTCGAAATGGAGGACGGGGACATGGATGCGAAGATTCATGACTACACGTACGTTTCTTGTTTGTATGGGAGAATCGGGTACAGTGCCAACGAATACCTCACACTGACCCTTCCTTCCCATGCTTGTCTAGGTATGGCATCACCAGGTAAGTGGAGCAAATTGTGTGGTATATAGAGCACCACACCATCATGATTGGCAGCATGAAACTCAATTTCTCTCTTCCTGTATCTCGCAGCGACCCGCTGACACAATTTGCAGCCTTGCTATCAGCATTGATTCATGATGTGTAAGTTCTGTTCATTGACGAAAGATCTTTACAATCTCCTCTCTCGTGACCGTTTTCTCAAATGGATTCTTCCGTTCCCATAGTGACCACCGTGGGGTATCGAATGGCCGGTTGGCCGTAGAACAGAAGGCAATGGCCACTATGTTCGATCACAAGAGCATTGCAGAACAGGTACGCTTACAGTGATGCATGGCTCCCAGCATCCACAAATCCAGAGCTGGTTCTTACTCTTGATGCTTGCATTATTCTGCTTTCTCTGTTGATTTCTAGAATTCACTTGACATTGCTTGGGAAAGTCTTATGGATCCTCGCTTCCGTGACCTCCGAAACTGCATCTACACAAACGAGGCTGAATTGAGACGTTTCCGTGCCTTGCTAGTCAACTGTGTGATGAGCACAGACATCTTTGACAAGGAGCTCTCCGGTAAGTGCAGAACAATCATTGCTTCAATGCGCTGCCGTGTTTCGCCTTCCTCATGCTTGCTCGTGATGCAACTTGTAGCTCTGAGGAAAGCAAGGTGGGATAAAGCATTTCAAATCCCGGATGACTTGGCCAACCGAGAGGACATCAACCGAAAGGCAACAATTGTGGTAAGTTTCTTCTTGTGGGTCTCGCGTATTGCAATCTACGCTGCTTCAGTTTGCCTGATCCAATGACGGCTGTTTGCCCCCCTCCCCACCACAGATTGAGCATCTGATTCAAGCATCCGATGTGTCGCACTGTATGCAACACTGGCTTGTCTACACCAAGTGGAATGAGCGGCTTTTTCATGAGCTGTACTTGGCGTACACAGAGGGCCGCATGGATAGTGATCCATCGGACGGCTGGTATAAGGGCGAGATTTGGTTTTTCGACAATTATGTGATTCCACTAACCAAGAAGCTGCGAAATTGTGGTGTGTTTGGTGTTTCGAGTGATGAGTATCTCAACTATGCGCTTACCAATCGAGCCGAATGGGAGGCCAGGGGTGAAGAGATTGTCAAGGGGATGGTTCAGAAATACAGCAAGCAGTACCGTGAAAAGGGGGGCAAGAGCGCGAGCAGCGATGACATGGAGCAGGAGGAGGAAGAGGCTGGTGGAGTGGAAATGGTGGAAGTGGAGAATGTGGAAGAGCCGTCTGAATACTTTGAAGATGAAGGAGACGAGTTGGTGGTGGAAGAAAGCAGTGAGGGTGACAAGACTTCAAACACTCAAAAAACTACTTCGACCCAAAGGACGACTGTTTCGACTATAGAATGCTAAATAGATTGCTACTTTTATTGGAGTTACACTGCTCAGCTGTACACTCGATAGATTGCCTGTTTGTCGTCAGATCCCGTTAACGTTGCAGTGTCCACTCGGTCCAGTGAGGATGAATTCTTGCGCATGGCTTTATGCAGAAGCGAGACAATCGTAAAAGTGATAGACTTCATCAGTCATATCGAGTGCAGCAACCTGTGTCTGGCAGTTGGCACAGGATACGGCATAGTAGATTGGGTTGTCCTCTTTTGTCGAATGCTGGTGATCTGGAGCCACAATAGGACTGTTCTGATGATTGTTGGATGATGACTGCTGGGAAGGATACCAACGTGTCAGGCCCTGAACTTTCTTGTCATACTTGAGCATGTGTTGCCAGTCCACAGTAATTCCCATGACAAACATGGCTCGGAACTGATTGTTGAATCTGTGATGCTTTTGACAATCCATGCAAACAATGTTGAAACAACAGGGACAACTCAGCACGGCATCGGAATTTCGAGGCTTGGTCACCTTTTTGGATGGCTGTTCTTTCGGGGATGCAGCAGCCAAGTTTTCATTCCGTGAGTGCTTGCCGCCTCGTAGGTTCATGTAAACATAGGCTTCGTCGTCGTCATCCATATTTTCATCGTAGAGAGACGCATCATCTCCTGACGGTACATCGCCCTGAGCATGCGGAAAGATTTCCTCGTCGTCGGTTGTCGCTTCTCCACAATCCGAATCGCCCGACACAACCGCCATCATTCCACCGTGATCTGGTGGCTGCACGTTGTTTGCTTCTGCCATTGGTAGGTACGGGTTGTCTCTTAATATTGGTACCTAACACGGGTTTCGCTCTTGGCACTATTTAAAAGATCCCGATGATCCCGATGCTTAAACTAACGTCCTTCGGGGGTAGTAACGCAAAAATGGCAATTCAGGTCTTCTTGAAAGAGATAGCTAGCAACCGGTAGCTGGTACTCAGAGTAGTTCGCAGAATCTCCACGGAGGCAAGGATGCAAGGATAGCTCGATGGTTTCGGGTTGATAGCTACCACAGCTTATCGAATGCACTTGCTGGCTGTTGTTCCGAACCTTTTCGCTATCTTGCGGGTTTTCCCCTGACCCTACCGTAGATTCGCTTCGCTTGGACAAAGGTGGAGCGGACCGCCCGAAGATAGATCGCTCGTGTGTCCAATGTCACTTCCAGACACCGCACATTACGCAGAGGCAGCACATGAGAAAGCCAGGACCGGCTATCGGTACTAGCTAGCTAGTATTTGTTTGTTGCTTCATGCTTTCATCTAATTCCATCAGTCTTCCGGGGCCAACTCTCAAGAGAAGCAGCGGCACCATCCGCCGACCCGAATTTCGGCTCGATGTCCAACAAAAAGATATGTTTGGTGATTTGGGCTTGTCTTTTGTGGATCTTCTGCATTTGCCTATGGAATGCCATTTCTCACCGAGCTACCCGAGCGGATTTGGAAGAAATATGGAGAACGGTTGCATCACTGAGGTTGTCCAAAGAAGAAGAAAAGAAAGAGCTCAAAGCTGTCATGGAAAACATAAAGGAATCACGAAGGTTCCTAATTGTTGGTCTGGTAGAAACTCTGGAGGAATTCTTTGGCACCGACAACCATGGCAATATCAGTCTCAGCAGCAAAGCCATACTGGCCGTTGGAGACCTATGTTGGGCTTTCCATGAATCCAACACTCAGAGTACTGTGGATGTCCATGTGCTATACAAGTCCAAGAATGATCCAAATGTTGAATCCAACCTACTGCAATTCTTAAAAGGGCACATGTGCCAGCCAACATTACAATCCGAAAATGAGTTGTGTACACAAAAGGAAGGAACGAACAAGGATCAGTTCTTGGCACAATTCAAGGAGTTTAGTCGCTATAAACGTCTCGCAATGCTGCGATCGGAGCAACGACGCCAAATCTTGGATGCGAACCATGATGGCTATGATGTTGTGGTCAGCGTGGATATGGACGTGGTGAGTCTACCACCCATTGTACCACTGGTGAATGCCATGGAAGTGGTTGCCACTGACAGGGCCCATGGCATTGGAAGTATTGTCTGTTCGAATGGGATTGAAAATGTGAATGTGTTCAATGGCTGGTTGCAACTGAGCCTTTACTATGACACCTTTGCGACTATTCTGGAGGATGGAACCTGGGGGTTCACGGGGCTGACCCAGAATCCTATGGAACAAATCAAACATGGCCAGACTTTGTTGTTGAGGGATATTCTTCGCAAATTAGAAGGCCCAACAAAATACGATCAGAGGTACCACATGCAATCCTGTTTTGGAGGAGCTGCCCTATATGACTTTGATACATGGGCGACTCCTGTGTGCGACTATTATCACAGCAGGATTGAATTGATGGTGGAGCATACAGATGACAACAGTGCATCAGGCTTTTCATTCCTTCACGCCCCCAATGACAAGCTGCATCAATTAAAGCATTTCAATCAAAAGGTGACACGATGGAAGTTGGATCCCAAGTACCAGAGTCCTGATGGGTGGTGTGAACACATGATCTTCCAGCAGTGTCTATATGCTGCCAATAGAGAGAAAAGCACCATGAAAAACAAGCGTCAGCTCAACATTGGTATTCAACCTGACCTCGTCATCGAAAGACAAGCAGCAGTTATGAGTCGATGGGAGGATTGGAGGAACGTACCTATAGTCTGCATGAGAAAACTTGCTGGACCAGGTGGTTTTACCCTAGTGATATACTGTCTCTTCAGGTATCTACTCTTCCCCAAAAACAGCAAATCTCCTCGGATAAAACGTCTCGCAGAGACCAAAGTCGGGCATCATGACTGATCGACAACATATCTGCGCACTCTTAAGCTTTTTGGTACACTTTTCCCTAATTGTTCACACGGCTGCACTAGATTTATTGAGTTTGTGATTTACCAATGAACAGGAATCAGCGATCCATTGAAAGAAGGCTCCTTTCACTCTCCCTACAGCACCGGGAGCTCATTTTAATTTTGTTCGTTCTCAGTGTCTGTGTTCGATTCTCAATCGGATGCTGGATCGAATCATTCAAATGAATGCTGTGGATTGTTTCAATTGGAATTATTAGCGCAGATTGTCACAGCAAGTGCCCGCTTGCAGCACACATCCCCATTCCCTACTCATGCACTATCTTTCATACATCACCCAATGGCTCCCATCACCAGTGCACATCAGTTCAAACTAATACTCTTCTGCCTTTTGACAAGTGCCCGTATCTTGATCGCAGCATTTGGTGCAACAGCCAACTGGGCAAACGATTGGAATCACTCCAGTGGAAGAAGTTGGGAGACAGTCTACCTTGAGACGCTTGAGCCTCGTACCGCCTCGGAGAGCACAAAGCTCGGAGGGTACAGTTCCCGTGAAACGATTCAGATTGAGACCGATCCGGTTTGCCCGAGACAAGCGGCCCATTTCAGTGGGCAATGTACCGCTCAGAGAGTTCCGTTGGCCAAACAGGTATGCAAGCATGGGCATATCACCAATATAGCTGCTGATGGTCCCCGATAGCTCATTTGTAAAAAATACGAGGGCCCACAGACGTTCCAAGGAAGTGTAGATTTCCATGGGCAGTGACCCCGTGAACAGAGCACCTGATACGTCAAGTTCACGCAGCTCTGTTACCAATCCAATCTCAGTTGGCAGAGTGCCTTCCATCAATGTGTCTCTCTGATGTCCCCCACACCAAAGGTTTCATAGCAGCAAAGGAGTGAGTGTGTCTGAAACTCTCCAACAATCAATCAAACATGTATTGAAAGTTACGAACCACTGAGAAGAACTTGAGCTTGGACAGCAACCCCAGCTCGGTGGGGAGTGTGCCGGTCATGTGGTTATTCCTCCAGAAGAGAATCTCACCTAATGCAATTCGATTGGAGTAGGATTCACATCGGTGAGCTAGTTTGGTCCCTCCACACTGACCAAACAAACAAAACTGAACTTACCCAGTTCTGTCAACCGGAATAGTTCCGAAGGCATCGTTCCTGTGGTGTCCGCAAATGACAGATCGAGAACTTGCAGCTTGGTCAGCTGGCCAATCCGGGAAGACAGAGGTGCGGGTGAGAAATGATTCCCTTCTAGTCCATGGTCTCCTAGCTGCAGCCGGTTGAGGTTAGAAAGACGGAACCACTGGTTGGGAATTGGGATTCCTGACAGTTGATTGGACTCCAAGTTTATCACTTGCAAGTTCTGCATGACACCCAGTTCGGATGGCGGAGTTCCGGTGAGTGAGTTTCTTGGCAATTCTAAAACTTTCAGACCATCTAGCTTTGCAAGCTCTGTTGGAACTGTGCCAGTAAGGTTGAAATCATCTTTGAAGCAAGCAAATGAACCAATGGAGAAGACAATGAAACAACAAGTTAGAAAAGGAAAGCACTTGGCAAACTGACGCCAAGAAATCAAAGCAATGTGGGCAACTCACATAGATGCAATTCGGTGACAATCTTGCTGGTGCGATTGCATCGTATTCCTGCCCAATCACATTCGTGTTGGCCGGAAAGCCATTGATAGGACAGAATCTCCAGCACTTCATAAGGAGACACAATTGTCATTTGGTAAACCTGGCGAACATAGCAAATATCAGTTTTGATGGTTTCATTGAGTTCTTGGAGGAGCCGACTTTTCGGATTACAAGTCTTCCAAAGTCCATACTTCTCAGTTGTCTGAAAATAGAAGAGGACCAGAATGAATCGCTGAACGAGGTTGTCAGAGTCGGGAACAAGTTGGATGGGGTCCTCATGGAGGAACCAATCCAAGGCCTTCGAATAAGGGTCATCATCATTGAGGTCAAGGGATGTGACGTTTCCAAAGGCAAGTGTAATCCTTCGTTCCATCTCAGTCCGCAGAGATTCCCTGTCATGTGCCGCTCCACTTGGGTTATCATTGGTCAGGATAATCGACACCGGGATGATGATCACTATGATTAGAATCAACAAGCAGGAGAGAACAGGAAACAAGCCTGTTTTCCTTCCTTGGTTTGTATTGATGCTTCTGCTGCTTGGACCGTCACCATCCACTCTCTGCGCCACTTGTAGATCCGGTCTTTCAGGCACCAAGGAGGCCCTTGCCAATCCCTTCTGGCTGCTGGAAGTGGAGCCACTATCCGTTGCTTCCTGTTGGCTTGGATTATTGTCATTTTCCGATCTATTCAAGGTGATAATGGTTGTATTTGCTTGTTCTGAACCATCTTGTCCTGTACGTTGTATAATTCCGGCGCTGTTCCCGGGACCTGCCTCTGCATATGCCCCAGGCTCCTCCCTTGCAGAAACTATCGCTGTGATTGCCTCCTCCAAGTGCTGCAGTACTCGAAGTGCAACATTTGGTGATATCAGCGGTTGAGGAACTTGCGAATCATTGGCGTTTGGTCGGGACGAGCAGCGGGCACTGCTTGCTGTTCGATTTGAGACTTTCAGATCCCCTCCTTGCGCATTTCCAATTGCACCCAATTGTTTCGACTCGCACTCTTTTCCCCTTGCGCTCATGCCTTCAGACTCTTTCAAAGCATCTGATTCTTTCTGCTGCTGACTCTCTTTTTCGGGAATATTCTCGGAAGCAACTGACTCTTCGTTCACCTTGGCCAGCACTCGGTCTTCCATTGTGGGTAGTGACAGAGTTTGCTGCTGGTGTTCGTGATGCCTTGCTGTGCGTTCCTGTAGACTCTCTAAGGCAAGATCATTGTCCACTCTACTGGAAGAAGGAGCCTCTTCTTGATCTACATGGAGGAAAGCTGGATACATGGAAGCTACCGGATTCACATTGGTGATGGAGGACACGGTTGACTGAGCCCAATCATCGGGGACGACAACCCGAGGAACGGGAAGCAAAGCCGGCACCTGTTGGTCTACCGGTATGGCATCATCATCTGGGACTTCCACAGGATCAGTGCCTGTGACTAAGTCCTCCGTTTGCTCGTTTGGTGGCTTCATGGTGATACGGCAGTGGTGATGGGGTTAATATTGCTCGAGACTAACACAAAGGCAGAGGGTGGTCGTGGTGATGCTGTACAGTACCGCGACTGTCGTGACAGCAACTTTTGCCTCCTGAGGTTGGCGCTGGCTACTAGTAACCCCACCGTATCTAAAACCCACGTAGAACCTTCCAAATCATCTCCAGTGAACTCAAATGATGACGTCGGCATTGAACTTGGCAGCTTGGCCAGGTTTGAGGCATCAAGCATCAATAATAATTGGAAAGGTTGAAGGGCGGCAGGTGACTGAGACTGGTACCTGGTACAGTGCACCTGTTACTCCGGTTAAGGTGCTAGCTAGACTACATCTATCCAGCTATGCATCCCGTTACATACGGTATAGTGCAGCACTTCATTTGTTAAACTTGTTGGAAGCAATCTTGACGCTGAAGATGCCGTGGAGGGCTGCGTGGCTGTTACCCAAAAGCACCTGTCAGGGGCTATTCCAGGAACTTGATTATCACGGAAGCCAGGTGGAGCATTTTGAAGGGAAGCTGCGTTTTGATTCTAGCTAGAGGGCACCAACAAATCCTACAATCAACCACTTCCAATCAGTTCTTCTAGCCAGCACACCCAGAGTTGAGAGCCAACCCACCAGGCACCACAGCTTCGGAGGGTACCGGTACAGTAGCGGCGCCACAGCTCCCACGTGAAGCACGGCAAAAACCTGTGCTTCACAGGGGCAGAGCAACACTAGAGACAATGTTATGAGCAGATACTCAAGGTTATGGATTCTATAGATTGTCATTATGAAACTTTATGATTTTGTGCTGGCTTAGGCAGCCCGTGCTTTGCATGTGGTTTGTGCGGCTCTGGATTCGTGTCGGATCAGAGGCACAAAGTCCGAAATTGCGTCCTTGGTTGCGGTGGTTGTTGACTCGTCTCCTTCAGCGTGAACCAGACGAGCTTCCAGAGCATCCTGCAAGGCCAAGGCGTGGGCTTTCTTTTGTGTATTCACTCCCATTTCGCTGGCGTACTCGCACAGCAGCTCTTGCGCGTCCTCGTAGCAAAATATCTCTCTGTATTCTTGGTATTTGCACAAAACTTTGGAAGCAAACTTGGCCCGAAGCTTGCGGCGGGCGGCGAGTTGTCCAGGAAAGTACATTTCCAGTCCTCGGGAGCAAACCGGCTCTTCTTCTTCTTCCTCCTCTTCTTCTTCCTCGCTATCGCTCTCATCATCCGAGTCGCTGTCTTCGTCCTCGCTGTCGCTGTCTTCGGGAGACTCTTCTTCTTGTTGCCGTTGTTGTTCCTTTTGCTGCTTTAGCAGATTGTTTTTGTATTCCCTCAAAAAGGTGACGACATCTTCGCGGTACAATTGTTTCATTTCCTCGGCTTCATACCAAGACTCGGCAGTGAGTTCATCCCGAGGGATCATGTACTCCACGCTGCCGGCAAAGTGAACTCGCTTTTCGGCGACTTGCTGAGTGGACTGTTGTTGTTCAATGGCGCTGATCATGACGGAAAGTTTTTAAGTAATTTGCTGTGGGTGATTGTGTTGTTGTGTGTTGTTGTGATGTTGTGTTTTGTTGTGAGCTTGGAGATTGCTTTGGATTTCTCATGTGGTTTCGGGGAACCCTTCTTGCATGGCTGGGAAGCTTGGAAGCAATCGTTGATCTGGAGGCATCCGATAAACCTTGCACGGATGAGCGGAGTCATATCCTGGAAGCAGCAAGAAGCTTCCAGTCTTGCCCGATGAAAGCATTAACAACATGGAGAGGAATTATTATCGTATGTCGCATCACCACCTGAAGAGAGTCAAGACGCGTTTGACCGTCTTTTTAGAAGAGGTGAAAAAACAGTCGTGGAGCATTGAGATCTTGGCTTCAACACCCAGTGGCTTTATCGTGCATGGCTGCATTGAGCAGTGTTCATGGGGTTGGAGAGAATCTCAATTTGAAACAGTAATGTGTGGTAGTTGCATTTCCCCATCCCCCAGCATGTTACCAGTGTGTGTACCGGTGTGCCGCTGTGTACCAACCAGGCAGCATTGAAAACAGCCACGGGAGAACTACAGGGACTGTACAATGCGATACATGTACATGCATGGATGATGGATGTAGCACCAGAGACAAATTCCTTCTTTTAGACCAAACAGAGGGCCCTGGTTGCCGTGTCTCTCCTCTGGAGTCGCAACATCTACCAGCAGGAGTTCTAGCATGGTCGCCTTGACGAGGACGTCAATGTCTAGCTAGCTACTGGCTGCCAGCTAAAGAAAGTCTTCCAACGTGTTGGTACTAACTCTTTGCTGGATTGTTCAACCAGGCCAAAAGGAAACAACTGCTACTATACCCGCAGTAATTAAGCATGTATCCAGCCCATCTTTGGCTGCTTCCTTACCTTAGGAGTTCAGTCGAAGCTCTGTCAATTCACCGTTTGACATCCGAGCGTCAAACGGTTGGGCCAAGAACACAAGAACACCTTTCGACCAGGCTACCGGTATTGGTCATAGCTCACGGTCTTGGTTCACATCACACCCGTACCAATTTCTTCGTGGCATAGGCCTTCTCAACAAGCACGTCCACGTGACCGTGCGGGATATACACCTGCGTGCACAACAGGTTTTCAAATCCATGGTCAGCATCGGCCACGATCGACTTGGCGTACCGAGCCATGAGATGCTCGTCCCCTTTCTTGGCTTCACGTAGAGAATTGGCAAGGTACCAAAAGGTTAGCAGGTCAAAACCAGCGTCATCCGAATCCGCAGACTCCACGTGTATCAGATTGTCGAATGTTACTTCCCAAAGAACCGCGCAAAAGTCCAAGCTGAGCTCGCCCTTGACCAGAACCACCCGCTCAAACGTAATCATGAGAATCAGCGATCCCTGAGCTTTCTTGCTGTTGGACCAAACACTTGCCACCTTCTGATACAAGCCTTCAACGTGGTAGATGTAGCCTTCGCCGAGGTGTATACCCATCCGAATACGCGAGAGCAAAGCTTTGCCAGCATTCTCGCCTTCGGTGTACTCCACAAGAAGGTCTTTTCCGTCAACGTTCGCAAACAAACGAGGGTTGCGAGTTCGAACCAGGCCAACTTTTCGGCCGACAAACTTCGTTGGATCGTATCGGAAGAGGTTTGCTCCAAAGCCAGTGATACCCTCACAGTACTGCAGCAGGGATGCGAGCAGTCGGAAGAATGGCTTCAACATCTTCATCTGAAATGAACCCAGCGAGGTGCGGTTGGACACGGGCAATCCGTCTTCGTATATTGGCTGAGGTTCGGCTTCTCTCAACTTGAGCAGATAATTCTCCTTTGCCTTTCCCATGCTGTGGGACATGGAACCCAGGGTGGATGCAATACTTTCGCTCCACGTGTACACAAAGGCGTTGATGATAAACGTCGGTTTCGCGGCAAGCCCAAGGAAGACATCAAACAATCTCCAGACGGAAAGGTAATGTGACTGTAGGGATTGCAGATGGTCCTCCAACGAACCATATGCATGAGAGCTGGAATATGGCCGGAGAAACAATGGGAGGCCTTCAAACGTCAGAGAAAGAGGCATCAAGCGAGGTACCGTGAGAGGGAGAGCCCCAGACCATGAGATTTCTAGCTTGGTAGTGGAGATTCGTAGCTTTTCAACGTAGCATTTCTTTCGCGCTTTGCTGAGGGAAGGTTGCTGGTCGGGAGTACCTGCTACTGAAGTCGACGCTGTTGTCATAGACTCGCGATTGGAAAGAGCCTTGGCTGCCACTGCTGCTGTGGTCACTGCATCTCCAGCTGAGTAAACATCAGCGGTTCCCATAATAGCTTTGCGCTTCCGATCTGAAGATTCTGGAAGACTGAGGACTTTACGAAGAGTGGAGTCGAGAGATTCGGCCGAATCATCACCCTCAGATCCAATCTCGATCACTTGTTGCATCATCTTCGCAATCGAATTGGCAAGGTTTCCATCAATATACAAATTGATTGGGTCCGTCACAAGGTCTAGCCACTCCAGAAAGGTCAAGTCCCCGTACACAGATGTTGAGATAAGTGGTCGGCATATCGAAATCGTAATAGCCCGATGCCGTCGGTTCTTCCTCCTTGCAATATGAGCGAGAGTTGTTGCAAGTCTCTTGGAACCCATCTCAAGCAATACGGGGTAGGGAGAAACCCATAGTTGATTGTCGATACATATGCGGCCAATAGATCCATCGATTGTCTGGTTGGAGGAGTCAACGCGCTGCGTGACAGAAATTTCTTCAAGGCGGAGAAAGAGCAGCTCCTGTGGTGACCAGTCGATCACGCTGACTCCAAGCCCGTGAGTGAGGCGAATGCTGACAGAGAAGGTGACGTGTGCTCTCTCGCCTGCGTTCTTTATCTTGATCTCTTTAGCGTCAATTCGAGCGAGCTGTGGCATAGATGACTCCGAAATTCGGATAACTCTGGTAGGCCCGTCCGCTATCACTTGCCCGATAAAAATAGCGGATTCCATTTTCAACTCCGTTCCAGGCGCCATTCGATCAAGGTTAAACCGACCAAGCATCGACGGCTGAACGATTGCATTTCCAAAGTCTGCCGCATCAAACTGTACAGATTTCCTTGCGTGCTCAGGTTCGTCCCAAGCGAAATCTTCATGATGATAAGGAAGTAGAATCGTCTCTGAAGACGCCACTTCTCTGTTGCGCAACACGTCGTCCTCATTGGTGCACAAGAATGTTTGCACAAATTGAAGCGGATACATGGTGTTGTTTTCGAATCTGAAGGGTGGATGGCTTGCCGGTCGAAGGAAGATCATGATCGTGCCAGATTTCTGTTTGCTGTGAATCTCGGCGTTGACAATGATTGTTTCTCGTCTCAACTTATGTCTTATTCGCAAGGTCACTTCTCTCCGGTTAGCCCGAATGTAAAAGCGACCAGACCAAACCCAACCAAATTCTTTCGGGCGGAATTGAATTGGTCCAGTATCGTCAAAGTGAAATGGAGTTGGCCGCCCATCAGCTCGAATTAAGACTGGCTTACCATGGCTGTGCTCAGCTATGATTTCGACCTCACGACCCAGTTCGTTCACAATGGCGTATCGACAAACAACGTGGACCAGCTTTGTTCCCAGTTTGCCCCCAAACTTGTCTGGCGCCGAAACAACTCGGGATCGAAGTGCAAGTGGCTCGAGTGTGTCGGTGAGATCACCCGTTGATGACTTCAAGTAGCCGACAGGTGGCATGACGGTCACATCAGCATGTCTGCCGTCAGCGTTTCGCAAAGAAACTGTCTCTGACCAAGGAGCTCTCAATCCTTTTCCTTCATGATCACGTCGCAAATGTTGACGAATCGACAGTTTCTTTGATCTGTCGTCGCCCAGCAGAAGAATCGAGAAAGACGACTTGGACGGCAGGTGGTCCATTTTCGCATCTTCAAGCAGCTCGGAGAGGCCCAACGTCAAACCTATCGGTTGCTTGAAACCAGATGCTTCGCCGCCTCCAATGAAATCGTCACGTGCGTCAAACTGACCAGCAACAAGGCTTCTTGCTGAGAACTCCAGCTCCTGCCCAGTGCCATCGACCAACCAGTAAGGCACAAAAAAGCTCACAACGCGACTAGCCTGCGCCAATCCCGAGGCAAAGCGTCTTATGCCGTCCTTTCCTGCGTCATACAGCTTTGAGCCGTCATCTATGGCGAGGGAAAGCTCGAGCGGCAAACCTGAAGTGTCCGCAATTTGCAATTTCGGAAGGGTGACCGCAGCTCGTAGATCGCTTCTTGCGTCCCCGTTGCTCATGGGAGGAATGCGGACAACCGTGCTCCATGATTCAAATCTTCGCGGAGTCTCCGGGTCTATTGTGACAAACTGAACTCGGAGTTCCACAGTGTCCACCGATAATGCGCCTGTCCAACTCGCAGTTTCTCCGCATTCAAGGATACCCAGGTCCTCCCATCTGTCTGCCTCGGCCAGCTTTGACAGTGATGCAGAGCTTCCGCGGTTGCCTGCCGGATCCTTCTTGATGCGAACCTGCACTGCAATCGGGAAAGCAAGGTAATTTCGGAAAGCCAGCGGAGACCTGAACAGCAGCATCCGCTGTTCTGGAATCAAGTCACTGGATGTGCTACGAATTTGTGATGCATCGAACATACCAATTCTCAACGAACACACATTGAGATTCACTTGCTCCGCCAGGTCTCCATAGTAATCCAAGCCTTTAAAAGATATGTCGAGTTCATTGATCAAACCTTTGGTTAGGGACGATCGAGAGTACGGCGGGGGGGCTCGGACTTGAATGGCATTGCTTCCACCGTTGGAGGTCAACTCTGATTCGTGGCTGAAGTTGGAGGTTCGAGGCAATGCCTCTACAGAAATTTCGTATGAGTCATCGTTGACAAACGGCACCATGTCAACCGGAACATAGCTCAGTATCGGGGTTTGCTTGGATGACTGCGAACGAGAAAGCAGGCACCGCCAGACGAGCGATAGCTTGTTATGGGCATGAACTTCGCAGAGAAGGTCGGCATCCGTATCATTCTTCAATGCCAGAGGCGACTCTATAGACACCAGCTTGATGCCACCTTGGAGAGCAACCCGAACAATCAGCCAACCAAGAGAGCGCGAATCTGATTCCAAAGTAGTTCTTATCCCAACGTTTCGATCTAGGGGATATCGATGCACGCCTACAATAGTATACGAGTTGCAGCAAAAGCGTGAGGTTGAGAGCATGTTGTTGCACGTGGCTATTGGGATTATGGTCCGTGCATTTACCTGCTGTGTCCACGGGGACCTTGGCCACAACCTTGTAGAAAAAGGTGTTTGACAAGGAGCCCTTCTGCACGTCAAACTCTTGGTGATCAAGTCGACCTGCTGTGTCTTCGAAGCTACCAAGTTCAACGAGGATATAAGCTCTATGGGGGTCACATGATTGGGAAAGGGTCCGTCTCAATGACAAGGGCACTTCTGACCCATTCTGCAGCAATGGCAACGAATCGAATCAGTCAGAAGAAAGTTGTCGCATTCCATATTGCAGGCAGTTGGATGCTTACCGAAAGTGTCACTTTGCTAGCACGTTCTCCTCGATCTACCCGTTCTGCCTCTAACACTTCCCGAAAACGAATAGTCTGTATGTAAAGCACTCGTAAGAAAAGAAAGGAACAGGACATGCTTGCGTTTCCACCTCTACTTCAGCAGCTTTCTCCAATGAAACACTTACCAGTCCACTGTCGTTTCGTATCCAGTGCGGTGCAACTGTTCGTGACTTCTCTTGGTTGAGATACCCCCACAGATTTTCGATCAATGCACCTGTCAGATTGATATTCAACGGCTTGGAATCTGAGACTGAACAAGAAAACGAAGCACCGGATTTGGATTTTGTCTCGTGTATCGGATGGCCAAAACAAACAAGCCATTTCATAGGATTCCTGGAGGGCAGATTCGACAGTAGTTCATTCTTTGATCCAAGCAAAGTACCGCCTGACCCTGAAGCTCCTTTGTGGAGTGCTGAGGAGACCAGAGAATTCGATGCGAGGGCTAACATCAGGTAGCCAAAATCAGCATCTATTGGGAACTGCTTCGCGGTGGCCTCGGCGGCCTCTTTCTCATTCCCCACGCTTCTGCGGAAAGGGGACCTAAGGTAGTTTCGAATTTCTCGTAGCTTGTCGCCGGTGTACGCAGAAACGGTTTCACCTTGCTCCAACTCTGTTCGCCACACAGAATGATCGGACTCTGGTAGTGCCGGCAGAACGTTGAGCCGTACGAGGTCTGCGCCAAACCGTACCTCCATATTCCAGGGCTCTATGAACGGTTCCCATGCCACAAGTCGTCTGTTGTGATAACTTGCTGATAGCTCACAGTTGAGCCATGCACCTGCCATGAGGTGATGCTCCCGCAAGCGAGTAACAACAGGTTTCTTTTCCACAATTCCCTCGAGCGCTGCTTCGGGCGCAAGATTGGTTTGCACCGAAACAGGACAAATCCCCAATCCAAGAGAGAATTTCACCAATGAGAAATTGATGATTGGGTTCTCGGTCAACCTGGTTGCCCCACCTGGCACGCATGTTACACGAATACCATCGGCCTGGATGGAAACAATCGCTGACGCTCTCTTGATTGCGTTGGCGAGTGAACTGGGTTCTGGATCAACCTTGTCCTTGGAACTCACATCTCCTCTTCTAGGGTTGGCTTCGCCTGTCCTGCTCAGCACCTCCAATATGGGGGCAACTGACACTCTCCACGAGTCATTGATTCCTCCTGGACTTTGAGCTGTTCATGCGATAGCAACAACAAGCTTGAGGTGTTCGTGCATACAAAGCCTCGAAGACCCAAAACTACACGTACCAATGTATACAAGCACATCCACCAGTTGTGCTTCAAGCCTCAATGAATGAGCGAAAGCAAAGGAAACGTTGAGGTTGGTCGTTGCATCATCTGTCGCATCATCGGAGTGGAAGCATATTCGACCGCCGAACGCATTATACACAGTGTTGAAATCGAAGCTGTTCGTGATAAGTTGTTCTCCGGCGGTAGGACGCGTAACCTTGAAATAGAAAGGCGAAATGTCTTTCTCGGATCTGGCCAGAGCAACAATTTGTGTTCGAAGAATTTGAAAGCCCTGGACGAGGAGCATCGTTTTTAATGCAATCAACTTTGAGAAGGGAGCTTTTGTCTGTGCTGCGCAGTGATCCACGAGCTCTCGGAACTCTCCTTTTCCCGGTGCAAGGGATTGAAGCTTGGTTTCGATCCCTGACCCCGCTTCTACACCACAAAGAATGAACGCGGCTTCGCCGCTGGATTTCCACCTGAACGACACCACGTTGATGGCCGCGTTGGCTTGTTCACGAATATAGGCTGGAATGTCCCTGGATGGAAACACACATTCGAAGCCATCGACAACAAAGGAAAAGAAGAAGTCGATGTGTGTCGACATCAAGTCCGCACTGCCTTTGCTACGATTCGCTTCGTCGTTCTCGGAGTTTGTCTCTTCGTCGGATTTTAGCAGTGCCGATAATTCATTCTGAAAACTGAGGAGTCCCTGGACTAGAGAAGGCGAGACAATGAACTTGATGTCACCGAAATGGAGGTTGATTCGGACGGCTGTTGCTTCCAGGGATTCTGATAGCTGGATCTTGGCGGACACGAAGTGAGGACTGGCTTCAGATCCATTTTCTGAATCCCTTAGGTAGTATTTCCTCGACGCAACGCAAAGACCTGGTCGGAAAGACCTGTCGTAGACTAGCACGTCGGCCACGTTTGAATTCAAAAACAGGCTGCACCCTCTTTTGTGAACATCAAAGTCCAGGTTCTTGACGGCAAACGAGGCGAAGGATCCTGTAGACTTGTTCAGGATTATGTCAGCAGATTGAAGGGCTACTTTGAGCCTGAAATCTGGTACTTTTGAATGCAGAGCCTGCGACTTATCGGATTCTTTCGCCTCCGCAATATCGTCTCCAGCAGTAGGTTTGGTCGATGAACGATGGTCGATACTCGTGGAGAAAGAACCAGCAAAGTCCACCAAGAAGGACAGCAGCTGCGGAGAGACATGGATCTTTGTGGCTGTCACCAACAACGACAAGTGTGTGGGAATCTCCATGTCTGCGCCGGTCCTTGAAGCATGCCAACCATGACGCTGCATCACTGTGGCAATCTCGTTCCAAGGAGAGTCAACCGGCAACTTGATATTGGGGACAACTGCTCGATGTTTCTGTAGGCTGAATCCAATGTGGCCTCTCATCAACACGTCGAGTGGTTCAATAACTTGCATCTCGTCGACGGATCGAAGTGCGCCTATGTCCACCAAAGCCATGTCGACGCATGTAGCTTGGTCTTTGTATGGACATTCCTCTAATGAAAGAAGAAGAGTCCACATTATTGTCAATGATCCGCGGCTACTATCCCCCCGACCACTCTCTGGCAGCTCTCGATCGCTGTTGTCTCTACCGGCAATCGTAATTGATGTTTTCCTAACAACAACATCAGCTCTCCATCGGATAGGCACTCTGGACGAATTCTCGTTGACATCATTCATCTTTCTGGTCTTGATGCTACTAGCCTCTGATTCTTTCGTTGGCTTCCCGCAAGGTTTGTTGGTGGGTTGTTGAGAAAGAGCACCGACCAGTTCTTCGACGGAACGAAGAAACTGCACGACGGGCTGACCGGCAACAAATACACTAAGGCTATTCACCTTTACTCCAAGATGTGTGTTCCAGACTTTGCTGTCGTTGTCGTCTTGGACGATTGTCTTGAGGCCAGCGACCCATCCAGAAACTTCAGATGATGGAACAAGCATGCTTCGTAGTCTAACTTGGAAGAGGGGGAGGTACGGGTCTCGCCTTCCGACCATCTCTGAACCCTTCCCCAACATTAAGTCCTCAATGTGAAGCAGCTGCAGATTGCCGCAGCGCAAGTCAACTTGATATCGGTTGTTGAAGGAACTTTGTGCCGAGGACAACGCGAATCTTGCGGCAATTTCGGACACGGTGAGAGCTGCTACAGGAGTTCCTCCTAGGTTCAGAACAACCCTCACCGACGACCACTGGACACAGATATCAACGTAGGCAGGCAGATTCTGACCCCCCTCGACCTTTTCAACTTCGCTTGAGCTGGCCTCCTCAGGCACAGACTCAGGCTCAATTTCTTTCCCAATAGCTGAAGAGCACGACAGCAGCGTTTCGATTAGTTGAGGCTCAGGCGTAGCTTCCAGATCACCGAATGCTACACGCACTCGTGCTACTTCGGGCGGGGATGACGTGTCCTTCCCTGTTGGTTTGTGTCGAAGTTCAAGTGTGCATTTTAAGAACTTGTCTTCCATTGACACCGTCGACAGGTACTGTGGAAAATGGGAAGACAGCATCCCCGCACCACCCTGAGAGTACTGCGAACCACCTAGCAGCACATAACGAGTCGTGCTCTTTGACCCATTGTTGTTGGTGTAGCAAGCACTCATATGCTCCACGCTGAGAAATGCCTTCGTCTCATTTGCTGAATGCCGCAAGGCAAGCGCAATATTGGATACACAGACCACCGTATCCATACTTTTGCCCTGAGATTGTGGGTCAAGGACGTCGGCGAAGTCCACCGATAGCTTGTTGAGCACAACAGTACATTGTAAAAGCTGCGGATTGAGGTTGCGGGTCAAGCTATGCTGCATGGCAATTGCATCCAAGGCTGTGGCCTTTGTTTTGCTCGTACTGAGCAAGAGCGAAGCCCTTCTGACAGGGGCGTGGACGTGCGAGACGTCTTCTTGTTTGCCCTCGAGAGCCTGCAGCTGGACATTCAGGTCATGACGCGTCGCAACTAACTCGTTGAGCTCTGCGCGAAGGCGATCTTGTTCCAGTCTCAACGACTTCTTCAGAAGACGCCGATGCTTAGTTGAATCTGATGTAACCGATCGATTTGACTGATTCTTTCTAGAAATCGACAGCTCCTCCACTTTGTTTTGCAGCACATCCAGACGTTTTCGAGTGTCGTCTATGGTCTTCTCCATCTCGGAGATCAAATCAGCAATCTGACCTGGTGAATATGCCGAATGGAAAGAATCGGAGTCGTTGTCGATACCTTCCAACGAATCTTCTTCCACTACTCGTTCTTCAAGTCTAGCGAGGTTTTCTTCGTTTAGGTAGGCACCCGCCTCTTTGGGTCGTCGCCTCCTTTTCAAAGAACGGTCTGACAGAGAGGACACATCAGACATGGCAGTCTTGGGGCGCCTCTGTCTGGGTGTGGCCCCATCCTGATCACCGTCCAGGATGCTGTCTGCGTCGGCTATCCAATTGTCCTCGAGCCACATGGTGATCTCTGAATTGTCGTCGTTTTCCACTGCGTCAAAGAATTCGTCTTCGTCAACGCGACTGCCACTGTCAACCGACTCTCCCAGGGGCATGGATTTTTGCTTTGAACTCCCATTCTCAGATGCAGGTTCCGAAAAGCTGAGGCGCCTTGTTGACACAAACCGTTGCTCGGCTGAAAACAGCATCATTTGTGACCGATCGTCTAGCGGAGCTGCCATGACTCTCTTCCATGTCCGTGCAATCTTTCCCAAATAGACGATGGAGGAAGGGGTTATCCTTGCCGATACATCACCGACATTGCAATCAATGCGGCAGCGACAAAGTGTATGGTCTGCCGGGATAATTGACTTGTGCAGGTTCACATGCACGGTGAAAGGAGAGAGGAGCGCACTCTTCTGTTTTGCAACCGACTCACACCATTCCCCAACAAGAATTTGCCCCGATGTAAATTGTAGCTGGTAAGTATCATAGAACGACGAGTGGATGTCATCAGACTGCCTTGTTGCCTGTGTGGTAGCGTCTCCTTCACCGAATCCCCAACTCTGGTCTCGTTCTCGTTTGTGGAATGCGCTTGGCTTCGAAGCACTCGTCACAGAATGACTTTCAAAAGTAAAGGTAGGTCCAGCTGGACTGGATTCAAATCCACCAAGAATCGACGGCAAATACGCTTTGCCCAGTGATCGATCAGATGATTCAAAATAGTCCTTAGTGGCAACATGGTCGAGGGCAGAGGAAAGATTCTTCACAACTGAAGTGTCACCATTGGTTTGCGGGGGCCGCTTACTTCCGTTCCTTTGCTCTTGTAATATCTCCACAGTCCGTTTCAAGTTTGCCGACGCTATTCCAGCCAATTTGACTGTCTTCAGATGCGCACTGCCTAGATCAATCCACAGTTTTTTGTCCCCTTCACCCAGTATTTGAATAATCGGGCATTGCACTTCAATGTCCAGACTAGTGGGAGTGTGCTCCTCCATGGCTGCCTCTACTTTTGCTTGAAGTCCCAAGGTGTTGGATGCCCATGCGTTGATAGAAGCCCGATTCAACTCCTCCCAGTATGAATCCAAATCACGAGTCCCTATTGGAAAACTGTACCTCAGGACCTCTTTCAAGCGGCGAATCCACTGGCAGTCAGGAACGAGGAGGATTTCTACTGCTTCCACTCGCGCCTTGACCATGACTCCACATCCATGCTCTTTGGGTGGGTTCAATGACACCTCTGCAAACACAAGAGGTTGCCGTGGTTCAGGCGTCACCTCTTGCCGACCCTGGCCGTCAGCAACATTTTGATCTTCGTCGTCCAGAAAGGTAACTCTGCTAGAATCGTTGTTTGTCGTGTGGCTGTTGTTGTTGTTGGCTTGAGCGGCATCACGTTGGCATGGTTGCCGTCGCGACAAAATGGCAAACCGCGCTTGATTGGAGCGAATTTCCGTAATCTTGTAATCTTCCAGGGAGACGTGTATTGTCGCAGTTTCATAGTCGCCCATGAGACTACATCCCAAAGACAATTGTTCAAATGTGAAATCGAGAAATTTTTCGTGTAAACGACGAAGCAGAGATGGCTCCCGGGCTGTCGACGGCAGGGGAGAAAAGATGGACAAGCACCCTTCTTTCCAATGCAGGTCGACAGAAAGAAACAGTACATTCTGCAGCTGTTCTTGCCCCGCATCGTTGGCTTCCAGCGTGGACGAGGAATGTTCCATGTACGCCATGAGTCTCTTGACTTCCATTTGACATTCCAAATCATTCTGCATGGCATTTTGCACCATTCGGTTTCCAAAGACCCATGACTCGGAAAAGGACTGTTCCGCAGCGGCTTGTTGTTGTTGCAACTGATATCCCTGGCCCAGTCTTCCATGAACCAGCAATCGATAGAGTAGAATATCATCCACTGACATGTCCCCCAAGATTCCATCTTCCAAGTTTTGCAATTCCTGTGATTCCTCGTGTGTCAGTCGCCTCGGCGCGTCTACTTCTTGCGGATTGTTATTGCTGTCAGTAGAATGCTGGTCACTGTGAAGCGACGGCCCTGCCCCATCATCGGGAGTGGTATCAAAGGTGGATTCTACCAAGGCCGTCAAGTCCTGACTCTCTTCTTGTGCAATGCTTTCGCGATGACTTTTATAAAAGTCGTATTGGAGTTTCCGTTCGTACAACTCACAATAGCGACACCGTCCGGCATACGACTGTCGCATGCGCCCCCAAGACCATCGCAAGCGACTTCCCTTGAGTTCGTACGAGATGACCCGAAAGGCATATTTCCACCACGCATGAGGATTTTCCAGGACGGATATTTGTGGTCGAAACTTGCGGTAGGGTTTGGAAAAGTTGTGTTGTTTGAGCGTATGAAAGAGCAATAGTATTTGATGGCATTGAAAGTCTCGTATCTGGACCCGTATGGCTTCGACATGCATGGAAGCTTCAATGGTAGGAGGGAGACCAGTATCTTGGGGATCGACGGTGAGTGACATTTGCAGGGTACAATCGACGGGCATGAGTAGATAGGTGTGGGTGGGAACCACCAGCCGGCCTCCGGGTGCCGACCACAAGGCCGTGGCTCTTCGAGCAATGCCTCGATCCAAAGCTGCCGCAATAAAGTGAGGGGAGTTCTGTGCGGAGGATAGTTGATGCAGGACGCAGTGTTCCAGAGAGAGTCCTTCTTCGTAGCCGAGAGCATTCCAATAGAGAGCATAATGATTGACTTGCGCCACTTTTCGGACGATTTCCTTGCCATTATTATTTTTGGCGGATGGAGAGTTATTGCTCTCTTGGCTGCTGTTGTTTCGTTTATTGGGGGGCATACTCATCATGGTATCATCTTCTCGATGCTGTACATGCATGCTTTCCATGACGATTCCAAACGCACAGGGATGCGCTGGATCCGTCTCGGCATCTTCCAATCGAATGTGCAAGTCTCTTATATGAACGTGCAAATAGTCGGCCAGCTGCTGCACCAATCCTTTGGAAATGCGCCGTTGTACAAAGTCCTTGATTCCTCCCAGACTACTGAACCACGATGACGAAGAGGACGCTGTTTCACTCGGCGTCTCCACAAACGCCTGTGCTTCCTGGAGTTTGGCTCGTCGTTGTTGAACATCTCGTTGTCTCATTTTGGCATCGTGAAATTCGTAGAGCATTCTCCCCAAGACGTGAATGCCATCAATCACAATCACCACCACGGCTCCTTCCTTATTGTTGTGGTGGTGGTTGTTGCGCCCACTACTACTGCGCAATTTGGACCACGGCACGGTGATTTCCACTCTTCGAATGGTCGCGTGCAGTACCTCCAAGGGAATGCCTTGTTGCTGCAAAATGTCATTGATGACTGCCGTTTTGAGGCGAAGATTGTCCAAGGCAATGTAGCCACTCCAGACGCCCAACGATGACGGCTCTTCACTAGTACTGCCATTATCGCCATTATTATTACTCTGGTAGTCAAAGTATTGAGACAGAACATTGTTCAAGAGGCGACTCAAAAGGCGTTCCAACATTTTATTGTATGATGGTTTGGTGGTAGTGTTCTGAATTTTTTTGAGATACCGCAGAGGAATCTTCGATCTTAGAGATGGGTAGTCTGAAGAGTCTGTCCAACTGGTTTATCTATCTGAAGCTTGTCAAGCTATCATGCGACGGGTGAGATAGATATTCAATCTAGCAATCAATGAATCAACGCCATGTACGTCAATTCCATCCGTTCCATTGGTCGGCTGCAGGCTTTCGAGGACGCATCAAGACCATCGTTCTGAGAAGGTCGTCGGAGCCTGGACCCGAACGAGAAAAAGATTGTATCTTAGCCCTAACTAAGTTAGATAGAGATAAAATAAAGGGTTAGCGATGCAAGATAAGCGAGATTTGACTGAGTCAAGTCAGTCACGGATACGAGAGCCATCAAATCTTTTCTCAAGCCTAGCTACCAGCTACTGAAAGCAAGCCCCAGTTCCGTTTGTCTCTGCATCTCCTCATCTCACATCATCCCATGCTCTTTCTCTGCACAAGCAAGCAGTACCTACCAATAGGTACAGTACAATGATGAAACGCAGTCGACAACCAGAGGAGGATGAGTTGGGAGCCACGGAATTTGCAGCAGCCTTGAATGGAGATGATCCCCATCGAATCCTCGACTGCTTGAAGCGGTTTTCCAGAATTGTGCGCCATCAGAGGCGTCAAGCCTTGTTTCCTCACACGACGCCAGAAGACAATGACGACTCGGAAGAAGATGACACTCTGGAAGACGACTACCTGTCCAATAATGCTAATACTAAAAACAAGAAATTCAAGGCATCCGAAGCGTGGAAAGAAGACACACGATCGTATCAGGTTCCATTTGTGGGAACATCGGTCGCCAAGGGAGATGGAGGCACCGTGGTGGTCGGACAATGGCCCACGGGCTTGCTCAAGGCATATTTGGATCGCAGTCCAGTCGCCACGGAATTGACCAGTGACGATCTCATCCCTCCCACGGGGCATGTCCACAAGACACTTCTGCGCAGGCAACAGGGGAAACTCAGTCATGCCATCTTCCAAGCCTACTTGAAAGCACTGGCAGAACTGACCACCGCCGCCATTCCCAGAGAGACGCTTCAACAACAGCAACAACAATCACGGAAACAACGAGCAGCAGAAGACACTGCCCCACGCTTTTTAGAAACTTTGCTCAGCGACCGTGTACCAGGACTGATTGCCTTGCTCCAGTCCAACACCAAACGAGGAAAAACAGTGGCAGGGCCTTTGATACCGCTGGTGTTGCAGATTCTGACTCGAATCATCCAAACACGGGTGCAAAGTGCCAGAAACTTGGCGCGCCTGTTGGAACAGTCCCCACCAGAAGCCGTTTGGAGGTCCATTATTCGATTGGCTCCTCCTCCTCGGCAGCAGCACAACAACAATAGCAACCAGCCAATCGAGGAGCAAGACAATGACCGCAACAATAATCATCCACCAAGAAAAGATCCTTCCAAAAGAAACGAATGCAGGACTGCTTTTTTGCACATGGTTCGCGCATTCCTGGAAACCAGAGATACCACCGTCCTGCATTACATTAGTGCCACCGGCAGCAAAGACCGAAAACTCATCTCGGGGGTGCTGGTGTTGGCATTGCGAGAGGGACTGCGTGATACCTTTCATCCTACTAACAACGGTAACAACAACAATGCCTACTATCAAGAAATGGCCCTCTTTTTGGAAACGGTTCGTCGCATCATTTGCCACTCGGCCAGTTTGGTGTCCTTGCGAGGATGGATCGAACTGCTTCCGTACGATGTACTCCACAACTTGTGTGAACTGTCCATACACGCGCCACGATTGGGCAACAACAAACCAGATAATCAGTTCCAATTGGTTCTCGCTATTGGCAATGATGGCAATGATGAATCAGGGACGACAGTATCGTTGTTGCAGCAAGCTGGGAGAGAAGCAAGAAGAGTGCTGTGGATCTTGTTGGTCGACAATCAACGATCGCCCTTACTCAAGGGCATGCGCAATAATAATAATAATCACAACAACAACAACAAAAATCGAGAGCAGGCGGTTGTCATTCGAGCCATGTGCCGCCTCCTGGAAACGCATCCTCTGTCCGGAAAGATGGGTCTGCATCGCTGTATCTTGCATGGGATACAGCAATCACCATCTCTGTTGCCAGCTTTGTTTCTCAAACTCAACCTGCCCGATTCCAGCAACCACCCGTTTGCCTTTTGTGCACGGTTGAGATTTGTCTGTCAGCTTTTACGGGAGGGACCAGTGCCATTGGGGGACGACGACGACAACAACAATCAGGAACGAACGCAGCAAGAAATGCTGCGACTCATCTTGCCCATGGGAATGACAAGGCAAGTCTTTACCAGAGCGATTCAAGGCAAAAATGACTTGTGTGTAGCAGAGACAATCAAGTGCCTTTTATGCATTCTGGAACGGTTGCAAGTCGTTCAAGTTGCACTTTCCGCAAAAGCAATCGACTCGTCAGAGTTAACGAAACAGGTGATTGCTCAACTGCCCGATGTCAAAGCAATCCTGCCTTCCATTTCTCGATACGACCTTGACGGAGGATTTGCTCGAGCAGCACCCATAATACGGGGGCACCTCTGTCAACTGCTTCTGTCCGTGGCTACAATCCACCCAGGCTTTCTTAGCGAAGTAAAGTTCGATTGGATGAAAATGCTGCCGTCCAATGCATCGAATTTTCGTCGCTTGCCCCTGGTGCTGCAGGCACAACTACTACGAACACTGGAAAAACTCTTGAACTGCAGCACCAATCCCCACATATCTCCTGCAGCTTGTGCATTGCTATTGGAGATCTTGACAACATGCCGAACGTCCCAGGTCTACACAATTGCTAGACGTATTTGCGTTTTCTTGCTAAGCCGCGTGGCCCCAGCTCCTTTTCTCAATGAGGAGTCTCAGCAGAATATACGTTACGAAATATCTTGTTGGATTGATTGCATGGCACCAAGGGCTACAACGGACTTTCGACATGTTTTGGAGAGTGCCTCCAAGACATTTCTCAATACAGAAGTGTCCTTGTTTCGGGCGTGGAAAGATGCAGGATTGTCAACTTCAATGCCGAAAGAATCACCATCTGCGATACTGGTTACAGCAATCGTGGATCTTTCGAATGGCTCCTGGTCAACCGAAATGGAAGAGCTTGTCTTGCGGGTCACTGCAAAATGCCTGCTCTTCAACCACAACCCAATGCCAATAGCAACGCTGATAACTTATTTCTTGGGCAAGAAAAGACAGTCGGGGGCTTCCAGCGATGGAGTCAAAGCAATGAGGAACCAGTTGCTGAAGTACGCAAAGACTTTGGTTGACTTTGACGATTCCTCGAACGAAACAAAACGAAATTCACGCCTGCACAAGTTACTAGGTGCCTGTTTCTCCGAAACGAGTTTTCATCGGAAGGTGTTTGATTGGTGGAGAACCGGCGACAGCGCAATCCTCTCGCACTTTGATCATTTGTCGCGTGAGGATGCAATTGCTGCAATCAGGCAACTCTCCCACATCATTGCTTGCAATTCACATGATTCGTCGGAAATAGTGCATTACGTGTTGAGGAGGAGGAATATCGTTTTGCTTCGACGTATCATTGGTTCTGCTTTGTTGGTAAGTTTCTACACATTTGCAGTTGGAAGTTTTGCTTCTCTCTAAATATTGGGCGTTGTGCCTCTCTTCATTCTTCAGGATCTTGATGACGAATCAGACCTTGTAGTTCAAAACACTGCTGCAAGATTGACAGATTGCGATTTGGCACGCTTTCAGTTCTTTTTGATTGTGCACGGCAGTCGACAATCAGCTTCCGATTTACTTAGCCATCTTAAATCCATCGAGCTTAGGACGTCATCGGATCCATTTGGAGGTCATCTGCTGTTTTCGGTCAGCGGGGAAGCAAGAGAGCGTTTCCTCATGCTTACCCTGATCGGACCCTTTCTATCCCCGGAGGACTTGAACGAGGCATTCGGCACCTTGCTACGGCTTTGGTCCAACGAAAAAACCAAATCCGACAGGCGCGTGCTTCTCCCAGCGCTCAAATCTTGCACACAAGAGGTGTTGGCTCGGCCAATGCTGGAGGGCTTAGACAGTGCGGGTGGCGCCTTGAAGGCGTGGCTAAGTGTCTCAGATTGCTTGCGGAATGGGGAAAGAGGTGAAGCCCTAGAACTTCTCTGTGGTGATCTCGAGGCGCTACTTTGTCGTTCCCTTGATCTTGGGACGGAGTCTGCAAAATTGTACCTAGCAACGGTTGAAGTGGAAACAAAAGAGCTTGTGTGGAGCACCACAAGATTGCGATCCGAGTTGGACTCTTCGACTGGGTGTTTGTTGACTCAGCTATTCGACTGTGATCCGTATCGCTTTGCCAGCTACATTACGAGACTGCTGGTTCTCAACGATCAAGCTCCGAGGCGCCTGTGGCTGTCCAGTACTTTTGAGCGATGCCTACAGGGTGTGCTCGAACGGAAGGATATCATGAAGACCGAACTCTTAGTGTCAGATGCAAAGGAGCTTGGTGATGCTGTCTTGCAACGCGCAACAGTCTGTCTTGAACAAGTAAGTTCAGGGTTGGGGACTGTGTCTATTGACCTCGTGGCTCTTTTTGCTTACTCCCGTTGTGCGAAAGATTATGACGAATCGAGAGCCTTACGCGGAATTACAAGTTTTTCGGCTTGTTGGGTCGCTGGATAGCAGTTTTGATGTGGACTCCAACGTAAAAGTGGCGCTCTGCAGGAAGACAACTTCATTTCTGATGAGTTCAGCCTTTAACAAAGGAGCCGAGGCCGGGATATTGACCACATCCGCTCTACTTGCGTTCCTAGAAGGATGCGTCCAATTGATTAGTTTCCTGGACGAAGACGTGGAAGTTGAGGCGACGGTGAAACGAGATTTGTGTCCAGCATTCTTCGCTCGTCTTTGCAAACTGCTTCCTCGGTCACTCCGAAATCATTTCAAGGGAAATGGAGAGAAGCTTCCAAGCGATCCTGGAGTCGCCCCGTCGCTTCTGATTCGGTGGATGTGTCAACTAGCCAAACAGCTTGCTAGTTTTGACATGGATTCGGGTATTCTGGAGAAGTCGGTTGGGTCGACGTTGCGCTCTTGTTTGAAATATGGAATGGCAGAAGCCGACGATACAGCACGCACAAAAACCGCTACGATCTGTCTTCAACTAGCCATCGAGCTTGTTCCTGCGATCCACGCCGCAGAGATTGCAGGCAAGAGCGACAATCTTCCAACCGCAGAGGAAATCTACAGCATGGTTGTGTCGCATTCCAGATTCCAGGCAACACTGTTTGAATCGTCTGATGGCGGCCAAAACGACGCTCGAAAGCTCGAATTGGTCCGCCTGCTCTTGTCGTGCGTATCGCTATCGACGACTACAATCACGTTTTCATCATCTGTATGGGACGCCTTATTCAGTGCGTACAATGCCAGTGTCGGTGTTATCGATGCAACGCTGAGGCGTTTACTTTATGTAGCCTCGACAAAGCAAGGAGAGGTGAGTACATGCATGCTTGCGTTTCCTATATGTGACAAATAGAAGGGAACCCTCCTAACGTTTTCGCGCACAGAGCGAATCTTTGCCATTTCTCGACCAATATCGATGGAAAGATACGCAAGGCCATCCAGATGCAAAAGCAAAGTATTCATGGGATTGGCTTGTCAACGGCCTTCAGTTAGGGCGTGTTCGCGAGACTTTGCGGTGCTTTCCTCTCGATGATGCGGTTGAACCACGTCCAATGCTGGTGCACATCGAGAATAGGAATCGGACAGACGTCGTAGCTGACGGAGATGACAACTTTGACATCCCAAAGACAACTAAAAGCGCGGGAGATTCTTGCTATAGCCCTGGCTACATTCTACCCCTCGTTTTTTCAGCGCTGGAAGCTTGTTTGGAAGGTACGGCGTCAACACTCCCAGGAGTGGAGGAGGGCAAAACCTTACGAGGCGAGGGAACTGAGAACCTGCCTGGATCTGTGGTGACATCCGAACTGCTGGCTAAAACGGCTCAGCGCTTATGCGAGAAGGGCGCTTTGAGCTTGACCCTGGCATCTCTTTGCAGCAGGTGTGCAAGATTGCGCCAAATCGCGGTAGCTGTGCTCGGCCTTTTTGTCCAAGCATTGAATACGGACGAAGCTGTCCAGATCAAGTCGTGGCGAGAAAGGCCGCAACTTGCGATGTTGCTGCATTCGGTACAGAGAGCCCTGGCAGTACGACGGTCAGTGATTTTGGCTGAAGCTAAAGGAAACCAGGAGGAAGAATCACCGGCATGGCTTATTGTTCCAAAGCTGCCAGGTTTCTCTGCAATCTTTCTTGCCCAGGCAGCCTTGATTTTGGCCCGACCTGGGGACGCCATGTACACACCAATCAACAAGTACTTTTTAGGCAAAGAAAACGACCACGGAGCTTTTCGCGATCTCAACCGTCTACCGGCCTTCGTCATGTTCTTCTGCTCCAGTGCTCACGAGCCCGCTGGGCAGGCGAGGATGGAACGGTTGTTTGCCCTCAGATTGTTTCGGGACGGGTTTCTGGATGACTACTGTTTCAAGAGCGCGTCTTCATGCCATGCACCCGCACTATTGATGTCATCGTTGACGAACTTTCGCTCCCGCTCGAGCTTGGGAAGTCCTATGGACGTCGAAGAGGAGTGCCTTCTGCTGTTGGAGGCCATTGAAAGAATGTTTGTTTCAGGCGGCCATCATGGTTCGCATCTCCTCATTGATAGGATGGGATCACTTTCTTGGCTACGCGCCGTCCTCGAACTGCGGGATCTGAAGCATGTACTGCCGACAAGGTCTTGCCGCTTTGCTTTTCTCAAACTATTGAAGTCAGCTGTTGATCAGGCGGTAGGTGACTTTCAGAGACACGGGGACGGGCGGGATGGGGCGAGTCTGACCTTTGAAGTTACTTCGCTGGCACAGCCTACACTGAATTTGGGGGTAATGGCGCTAGAAGAGGTGGAGTCCTCTCGTGACGGGGCGCGAACAGGGGAAGTGCCTACAGAAGGGGCAACGTCGTGTATTGAAACCTTCCATTCGCTGCAGCGGGCTCTGCGTATCAGTGCCAAGGGCGAGACCTTGGAAAACGATTGTTTTCGCGACGATGGAGTGTTGATCCAAACAGTGCTTGCATTCTTTTCCAAAGCAACTACTCTTTCAACAACCGAGAAAGATGGACTCTTGGGAACCTTGATCAGCTTTCCCTTGAGCTCCCGCGCTCCCGCTTTTGAGGCCATTGACTTTTGCGGCATGCTTCTAGATGCTCTGTCTTGCAGCGCCAACCCCAGCAGATCAATTGTCAACAAAGCGACCGTCGTGGGGCTCATTCACAAGGTTCTTTTGACTATGAATCGCCTTGCGCAAACCCGGGATGGCAACACAGACAAGGCCGAGCCAATGCAGGAGGACGACTCGGGCAGTGACGCAAACAGTACGCCACAAGATGACGCCCCGGACGATACCGAAAGTAATCTCGGCTCACAGCTGATCCCCAAACTGTTGATGAGTCAAAAGGTTTGTTTTCGATGGCCCGAGAGCCAATCCATTTGGTTTGAATGCCTGCGGACAGCCCTTCGTGACAGCTCTGGAGCTCCCAGCACAGATGAACCACCAGAGCAAGAACGAATGAAACAGACAATCAATCTGCTATTGAAATACCGAGTGGATGAGCCGTAAAGCTCCATGGTGCTGTAGCGATAGCCATGCCCAGCCAGCACTAAACGTAAATGCCCTCGCAATGCGAATCCGTATGGCGTATCTATTAAGCAATCATGACTATTCGCCTATGCTACTGGTGAAGACTTAAAAACTAGGTAGCTGTCTCCTGACGAGCCCCCAGCTGCGTTGACAAGAACCGGTACGCCATGCCTTGCACGGGAAGGTCATCCTATTATTACATGTACACCAATGAGCCAATACATTACGACATTTGTCCATTTCTCAAAGATGCAAGATCTGCTGCAAAGAATTGTTACTACTTGAATCATGCTTTGTCCCATACCATCACTGCTTCCATCTCAGGAGAAGCATCTTCCATTAGAACATGCCAATGGCGTGTATTCCCATGAAGATTAGAGAAAGCACGAATCTCAAGGAGCCATGCGTTGCTTCGTAGCCAAAATGGACTCCAGAAGTAGTGTCCACAATGCGGGAACCCACAATGTCATCAATGTCGCCACTAATGTTGGCGGGTGCAAATTGTAGCTTGACAAGATTCTGGTCTTGGGTGGAAAACAAGAGTTCCAAGATGTCCGGATCACTGGAACAACCGACGGCAAGATTGGACTCTACCGGGCTGGACAAGGGTATGGACCACACAGTTTCCACTCCCTCATTATTGTTGTTTGTTCGTTGTAATCCCACCAATGTGTCCTTGTCTTGATTCTGGACGACGAGTTCGGGAATTCCGTCACCGTTTAAGTCAAACACCACGGCACGATCCAAATTGCGAGACCGAATGTCATGGGAGGTATACCGTTGGGAGGATGCAACCAGTTGCAGTTCATCGCTGCCGTCCCATTGATAGTACCGTACAATACCCCCAATATGAGGTGTGCGAATCTCTACTACTTCCGTCTCTCCTTGTGGTCCCAGGTTGCCCACTGCCAACTGATGCAGCCACCTGCCTCCTACTCCAATGGCCGGTGCTTGTGCCAACAGAGTAAGCTCTTGTCGTTCATTAGCATCTGCTGATGCCGTCGTAAGCGTGTAGACCCGCAGCCGTGCTCCAACTGCACGATTGGAAATGGTGGTGACCAAATCCTCTTGCCCATCCCCATTGACATCGGCCCAAATCACTCCCAATCCCTCAAAGACGGTGTCTTCTTCCTCTTCGTCTTGTAGGGTGACTTGAGCATGTATTTCTACCGATTCTGTTTCTGCATTCCACTGGAGGACAGTGAGTGCGTGTGCCTCTAAAGCATCCCCCACAACGGCATGATTGTAGCGATCCGTGGAGGCCGTGTAGACCGCCCAGAGTTGGTGCTTGTGCGAGTACGAAATGGAAGCATCTGGGAGTGGATCCAGAGCCGATGCCCACAAACTGGAGTGAGTTACATCTGAGTAATTGGCCGTCAATTGTGTGAGTTGATAGGTGTTGCCTGTGGTAGAAGTATGCTGCTGTTGTACTAGCAAGAATCCTCCATTGGGTGTGGGAACAGCGGCACTGAGAGGAGAGGTGATGGATGGCTGAGGAAATGGAGAATACTGCATAGTCTCATTGCCGTCCTTCCTTGTGGAGTCTCTACTGCTGATCACCAAGGGACGATCTGCACTGTCCACTGTACTCCAAGGCAGGACTGCTGCTGCATTCATGTCATCACTACTAGTATCATCATCTCCAAGAGAAGATGTCATTCGATACTGATCCCCATTGTCGAGCACCATCCACCAAAAAGTTGGTCCCGATGGAGTTCCCACAATCCATCGCACCGTTTCACTGGTACTGTTGGTTCCCAACAAGAGCGCATCAGCGGTGCTTTGAATGTCCACTTCTTTGATCAGCCTCGGAATGATAACGGCTTTGTCATTGGCCTTGTCAATCACCGCTGGTTTCGACATCAGACCAGGACACACCGCCTCTGTCACCAGGCGATTGCCGGATGGCAGCAAGGATGTCGTAAGGTAGTCCATGATGAGTACAATAGTTATTATAGTTGTCTTGACTTGCTTGTGGAGTGTGCAACATTCGCCTTTGAAGAGTCGAGTCAAGAAGATGAAAGACGGTTGATTGTGAGGGTGGCGTGGGAAGGAAAATTTTAGAGGTGCGCGAGAAATATCTTAGGGTTCCGTGTTCACCGGAAAGCTGTGCGTCTCGACTAAGTTAGTCGACTCGAGTGACTCGACTCCCTTAGTCGAGTCGAGTCCATCTGTGACTGATGGACAGACGATGGACCAAGTGCACCTCCTCGGAACACGTTGGGTCATCCTATGCATACAACTGATCGATCTTTACAGAGAAGAAGCACGCACTACGAACCCTACCGGTACCGGTACCAGTACACCCCGTTTATGTCGTGGACGACGATTTTACGAAATGTTAGCCAGCTACTCGAAATCTAGCCCGAAACGCAGGCAAAGTATAGATGGTCAACTGTTGCGAGATGATCAAGGCAAATTGCTGAGACAATCTAATGTCAGACTCATGCAATGGGAAGATGGATCCTACACACTGCATGCTGGAAAAGAAGCCTTGCAAATTGACAGTGTTGACTCGTCCAAGACAGTGGGTCAATGAATGTCCTCACGGGACGAACTGCTACGTTTGCCAGCCTCAATGGATATCTGTACTTGTCCAAATGGACGATGGAAACGAGGGAGACACCAAGCAAGAAAAGGAGACCGTCTTGGAATGTATGGGGTGTTGGAAGCCGTATGACTGCTAGACCATCGTCATGGGCCAGCGAAGCCCACAAGAGTCTCATCGTGGCGGTTCAACAAAGGACCACGAAGAGGGCCAAGATTGCTAAGGTCATCACACAATTAGATCATGAAAAGGAAAAGGCTGAGAGAATCCAACATGCATGTGATGCAATTTGAGAAGGAACAGGCTCGAAAGAAGAGCTACGGTGATGGATACAGTAGGGCACGTATTCGCCTCCCATGACGAGTCGGTATATGGAAGATGATGCAGACTACGATACCAGTGGAAGACCTCGATGATTACGCTGATGAGATCGACGATGATGAGGAAGAAGAGACGTTCAATCAGCGATGCCCAAGAAACGTGCTGGTGCATCCAACCGCAAGAGCCTGGACAGCGATGACGAGGATGAGGACCACGCCAACGAGGAAGCTGCTAATGGTGGAATAGAAAGATTCTGACAATGACCAAGAGGAAGATGAGGAAGTCATTGCACCGGTCAAGCGCAGCAAGAAGCGGACTCATCCGACTCAGGTGTGTTGCTTTGACGATGACGACAGTGACGATTGAAAGTTATCTATGGGCCTAAACAATACCAAAATAAGAATGCAGTGGGCGCATCACACACCGTGGTACTGGTACAATACTGGGGCTTGCCAGCGGTCGAGAGCACAAGGGTCGTTCTTCGCATAAAGGTCTGGCACATGACGATACCATATCGCACTGCCTTGGATAGGCGAATGAGCAAGCCGTCACCAAAGGAATGATGGGGATGCCAATGCGACGTCTTCTCTTCAGCCTCCAGTTCAGGAGGATGTTGATCACTTCCAACAGAGCACATTGAACGGGAGAAACAATAGTGAGAACTTTGGGCTCCCTTGCATTTTCAAAACGAAAATGGAAGAGTTGGCTCTGTCGCTGGCTCGAGATGGTCTGGGCATAGCTTTCACCATCCAAGAAACGGATTATGGGTTGCTTCTTCACGATCGATTGGTCAACACATTGAACCCAATGCTGGAGATGTTTGTGGCGAGCCAAGGAGCATGCATGCAGCGCCTCTCCGAACTCCGAAGCATCACGTTTTTGAAAAGGCAGGAGTCGAGTCGAGTGACAGCCAACAATGCAACCAAGCTAGCCACAAAGAGGGATTCGATTCACTGGTTTAAAAGAACCATTTCCAGTGTGGAAGAGAAGTTCATTGCAACAGAGAAGTTGACTTCACCAGAGAAGAAATATCAATAGCCTAGCTGGAGACAGCATCTTTTTCAAACATGCTGGTAAAGCTACAGTATCATAACTGCTCGACAGCTACTGCCACTGTACAGCTACTCAACAGCTACCGTACCACCGTACCACCGTACCACCCAGCTGCTGCATCCATCAAAACAATCATTAAGAAATTGCAGCGATTCTTTCAGCAAGAGATACTGGATATCGGGTAGAACAGGGGTATCTTCCACAGCTCTTCCATACCTTATCAATTTCTGATTTTTGATAGCGTCCGCTAGAAGCTAGATGAGCTCTACATGTACTAGTAGCGGTATGCATTGCTCTGTAGCTTCAGCCTCGAACTCTAAGACCCTCGAACTCTAAAAGACAGCAGTAACTGTTGAATACCTGAAGGTATTGAATCCTGCAACCTACTCATCAGCAATGAGCTCATTCATGGCTGTGTGAGCTGCATACCGGTAGCTGCTGCATAGCTGCTGCATAGAAGCTTCAATTGCCCATTGGGCTTCCGATACAGTGACTGGCCACTACTTGCTCCCATTGCCGTTAAGCCACTCACATTCTGAAAAGAAGCTTCTTTCGTGACGCTATAGTTTTTAGTTTCTCATTGCCGAAACAGCAGATTTAAAGCAATGATGGTGTCTACTTGAAGCGTGTTAAACCTTTTCCCGGCCAGCTACGAATACTAGTAGCGAACTCCGAAAAGAAACACTGCCGGAATTCATGAGCTGCATGAGCTCGAAGGCGGAAGTTGCTTTTGCACTTTTGCACGGCTTCAATGCAAATTCCTCAGTTGGTGTGGAAGTTTGAGCCAATCTTGAATCGAATCGAATCGAATCGAAACCTAGCTGGCAAGTTTTAGTAAGTACCACTGAGTAGCTTCGTACCGGAACGTATTGTATTCATCGACCGACACGAATCCTTCTGGTTGTTCTGATTCTTATTGCCGATTCTTTGAGTGCTGCACCTTCCGCCGGCTTTCAAGATGAAATGATGATGAGGGAGGGTTTTACAGGATCACACCACAAGCCAAGGCCTAATGGTACGCAGCTCCTACCGGTACGCTGTACTCAAACAGCTACTCAAACACTTCGCTGGAGCTGCTGGTGCTGGGCAGCTGGGCAGCTTGCTGGCCTCATCAGGCAGCTCAAAGCTCTAGGCTCAAGGAAGCTCAAAGCAAGATCGGGGTTCACCTTCCTGATAACACACCAATGGCCAATACTCAGTGTGTACTTCAACCTTCAATCTGGAAGGCATCAACGAGTAGTACAGTACTGTATCTACGTATCCACTACAGTCTACTATAGGAATCTATATCTAGTCTACTAGCTAGCTAATCCACTCCAGAGTCCAGAGTCTACGGGTACCGGTAGGGTACAGCTGTACATCGTACATGTACTCGAGTAGCTCTTTGCCTTGAGATGAAGCTTGTGGTTCTTGCCTTTCTGGCAAAAATCGATAAATCGTTTTCGATTTGAGGCTCTCCAAGACTCTCCTTCTCGGTTAGGCCTTTTAGTGCTTGCATGAAGAAGCATGTACTGATTTGGCTATACTCCAGGAGTCCAGAGTCAATTGCTCCAATATCGCGACCTTTTGGTTCCTTTGCCCGCAACGGAGCCAAGCAACAAATACCAAAGAGCTTCCAGAGCCAAAGCCAAAGCCAAGGAAGTACCAAACAAGTTGTATTCTCTTCTTGCTCACATTTTTACCTCCTTGAGATCACAATCTCTTCATAAAAACCAATCCCCTCTCTTCTTATCTCCCCAACCCACCGACCAACCAAACACACACACCATGTCCAAAGAGTGCCCCACCCCTCAGATGAAGCTTACCGAGCTCCTCGCCGCTGGAATCGTCCATATGCATGGAGGAAACGTGGTGCCTCCGCAACCAGCTCGTCCAATGACCCGCGAGACTCTCAGCATGACGATCGGCACGGTACTCGATATGATTTCAGACGATGAGTTTGAGGATGATATCCCGGGGCAACCATTTGTGTCCAGCACACATCGCACTGCCAGCCAGTGAGCCATGCGGCCCCGCCTTTGAAAATTTTCAGGAAACCAATACTGTTTCGTCACTTCTTTTCTACATTAATCCCCGTCTTCATATCCTGCATATATCTCAGTTTTGGCACTCTTTCCAAGTTCAGTGCACTTGACTTTCTTTCCCAGCCCTTGGTCTTGGGAGAACAATTTTGGATGAGGGCTCTTTGAATAGAAGCATACCATGGTCGACTCGGCAGCAGTGACAGTGACCAGCGTCTATCATAAAGACCTCCACACTTTTCTAATACTATTAACAGATTTTCCAAAGCTACGTTTTCGACTTCTTATCAGCGGTGGGCGTGCCGGCACGATATACTAGTTTACCCGTATCAACCATCATGGGGCTCCATTGAGCTCAAACCTTTCTTAGCAATGCCAGCCAGCTAGCCTCTGGCTTGAAGCTGCCAACCCATTGGGTCGTGGCGCTGGCATTCAAGGAAAGTTCAGGATCCAACATAGTCGGTAGACAAGAGGCGTTCGTGTAGTGAACACAATCGAAGTCAACCCTGAAAAGAGACCTCCCATGCTCCCATGGCCAAGAAGCCTAGGCCCTCATGTGAAAACGTCACGTCGCTACGTCCTTGCCTCTCACATCTCATCCGTCATCCAGAACTCAGAAATACCTTCTCCTATGGCTTTAGTTTCTTGATTGTTATCTGGTTTTAGGGAGGGTCTTTTTGACTCTGGAGAATCGAATCCTTTTTTTCCCAATTAAGCAAGTCCCAAGCTCAATTGCCATGTTGCCATGGGAACCGTGATGAGAATATGAGAATGATGCAATTTCAGAGCTACGCATGGTCTTGCGAAGGGCAGGCACGCAGGCAAATACAGTAGGCACAAGCCCCTTGAGCATCAGCGCATCATGTCTCAGTCATAACTAGAGCAGGGTCCTGCTACCCTATCTCATTATTTTGTAAAAGTATGTGTTCGCCAGGTCGAGAACTGTAACCCTGCGAATCGCTCTCGGACCGAATGGCCGAATATTCAAAGTACCATCCAGAATCCTGATGAGGGTCTTTCAAAGATATGCTTGCATACTCTTTGTGCCCTGTCATGTTGCATCGACCTTCGCTCCGCAATCACAGCCGACGTGTTAGTACGTAGGGTGGTTGCTTTTTGGTGAGCCCAACGATTGCCGAGGGCAGCTTGGTGAGACAGCAGCCTGTCAAGCGCTTCAAGTGCCCATCGGTTCTTGGACGAAATGACGACTTTCTTGGTATTCTAATCCTCTGCATACCGGTACTAGCTAGCTAGTGCAGAGCCTGGATCATTGTGAAAGGCACTACATACTCCCTAAACCGTATGCACAAGGCCTTGCTTTTTAACAACCTTGCTCAGAGCAAAAGCAGGTATGATCTAGCTAATAGATTTTCCAACGGGGGTAGATTGACGTCCAGCTATAGCTACTGGTAGCGGTTCCCTGTTTCTTCCGGGAGGCTTGGTCGCAGCACCAAGTAGGCTGCCAGACCAAAGAAAGGCACGTACTTGGCTACTCGTTCCAAGAGCGCCAGTTCACCATCGCTGACTCCTCGTCGCTTCAGATCATCGTCGACTAGCCACCCCTGGAATGCCGCAAATATGGCCAGGTCCACGAGGAAACTAGAGCCGACCCGATCAATACTCAGCAGGTCCAAAAAGCTGGCATATCTCACAGCAAAGTCTGCACCGTACTCTTCTGCCCGACCCAGAAAGAACCACAGGATGGACCCGGATCCCACCAACCCCATCAAAGCTCCCAAGACGGGGCTTTCTCCAGCAACTTGTGCTACCACGGGCAGTTCCTCTTTGGTCACCGCTGCTGCGTCACTGATGGATGTTGTTGTCTCACTGGAACGAACTGCCAAGTAGGGCAACAAAAAGGCCGACGTCAAGAATTGCATCCCCACCACAATGGGAAACATGGGCAGCAGATTGGGTTTGCGAGGTCGCTCGTCGCTGAGAAAGCCAGCAAACATGGCAGCCCACGACAGCAACAGATTGAAGACTCCCTCCAACATTGGATGCACCGATGGAGAGAATGGCAAGTGAAGCAGCGGTGACACCAAGAAAAAGTTGAGAGACAGGTTCAGGACTTCTTCCCATGTGCGCGCTTCCAATTGCAATGCGTTGGCGCCAGGTAAGATCCCGTCCGACAAGAACACAATGTACATGTATGCCACCCAGGAGAGTACGGGTATCCAGCGAACCGGTTCCTGCGATAATTTTGTGGCCAGAGAATCCGTGAACATTGACAGGCCGGATGGTTTTACCACGGCAGGTTCAATAAAATCAATGCCTTCCACAATCTTTTGTGCCTTGTTGTCGAGTTTGTAAAAAGAACAACCTTGCGTAAATGGGAGTGCTTCTCCCTCTCCATTTTCGAAATGCCACTCTGCCATGCCAGAACAGGAATTCGTGTCGATCGCCACCGTATCAATGACAATTTGAAAACTTGCCGGAAAGGCGTTGGAGCACTTGATCAAGTGTTCTTTCAGCTTTTGTTTTCCGACAAAGGGTTCCGGAAAGGCTGTATCTTCGTACTTTATATTATCGTCTGCAAAGACCTGCACTGCCGCTGTCATGTCACGGCGATTCCATGCATCAAAGTACTGTTCTGGAGGTGACAAGGGAGCCTTTGTGGTTGATTTTGTTGTTGGTTGTCGCGTTTTTCTTCTAGACTCTTGTTCGATTGCCTCGGGATTGTATCCTGTGACGTCCATCACTTTGCTCGCTTGACTCAAAATGTTCAGCCCGGTCTCTCCACCGCGAACGGTTGGTTCTGTCACGAGAACGACGCGTTGTATCTTCTTTGGCTGTTGTTGTTGTCCTTCCAGTAGTTGAAACATGGCACAACCACGGCTGTTGGGTATCGTCGTCCCCGTCTTCTTGTCATTTCTGTGAAAGAGCACGCCAATGGTATTTCGTGTCCCATCGACGGCCACATTATCCACGCAAATGGAACGTTCTCGAAAGCTTGTAGTCTCACTCTGCAATCTGAGTCGTCGTTCTACGGCTTGCTTGCCAATACAGGTCTGGTAAAAGGTGCATTCGTCCCACTCCACCTCTTCACTATCCGAAATCAACTCCAATGCCGCATCCAGGTTGTTGTCATTGAGATATTCAAAAAACTGAACAGCAACATTATTGTCGCGGTTGTTGTTGGGCTTGACGACAGGCAGACTATTGGATTGTTGTTCTGGGAGAAGCGACTTGAAAGGACTCAGAAAGTCTGCGACAGCATTCGACAAACACAATTGTGACGGCCGAGCTGCAGGTCTGCTCGTTGTTGCCAGGGACGGCGACGAAAACGCCCTCGATGGCGAGGCCAACAAGACTGGGGATACAATGGCACCAACGACCACAGCACTTGGGATTCTCATGGTGCAAGCTTCACGATGTTATAGACATGAGTATTAAGTTGTGGGTGAAGAACAACATGTACTCCAGAGTACTCAACAACAAGAGAGAAGCAATGCTGTCACCGTCGCATTGTCTCTCCGAGGACTGAGTCACTGGTCTGCGTCCAACGTCACTCCCGGTTTATTCGCGACAAAAAGGATGTTTGATCGAATAAGCCAGGAAGCTGTCAGAAGGACGAAGATTAAATTTGGGGTCCCCTGGGTCTGGAGGGAACCCTTACTTTGGATCTTTGAGACGTGTCCTCTCAATTCGAGGCACGGATGCTGCAAGATACGGTAGAAATGGGTGTCACCAAACAAACGAAAATTGCAGCGTCTTCGGTTAGTACATGTACCTATTGCATCTACCGGTACCGGTACAAGAATAAGGAATGGCATCGGACAATCCAAAACCACGTGAGGTGGCAACAGCCGAACAGGCCGTCGTGCAAGAGCGCTTGGCGGATACGACGACACCATGGAAGAAGCAGGTTGAGGAGTTGAAAAAGCAGGTTCAGGACTTGCAGCAGAAGTTGGCGAGTTCCAACAGAGCAAAGCAAAACGCCGAGGAACGGCTCCGAGCTGCTAACATGGAAATTGAACGCCTCCAGCAAAAATTAGCATCCATCCACCCCCCGGTTGCTGCCGATCATGAACCGAACCAAGGTGCAACCAACAACAGTGATATTAGTGTTGGTCTGAATACATGTAATACAGAGGACAAAGACTTGGATACCCTTGGTGTTAGCGTATTCCATTTGGAGCACGACTTTTTGGGAAGAGGAAGCCAAGTCGCAAGATCTTCCAAAATTTATGACATTGAGAATCTGAAGGGTCCTCCTGGCATCATTCGCAAGAAAGGAGCTGGTGTGGTTTGTCCTTTGGATGGACACATGGGTGCCGCCTATGTTCATTGTCTAGAAGGAGAGGACCATTTTGGAGAGGCAACTCATATGCTCAGCTATTCGTGGGATTATTCGATTGGAGATATTGTGGATACCCTTTCTGATTTCTGCCTAAAAAATCAGCTTGATCCCAAGAGAACCTATATCTGGATATGCTGCCTCTGTGTCAATCAACACAGGGTGGTAAAAAATGCTGCATTGCAAAACTCAGGAATGACAATTCCTTCGCATGTAGATTTCTTCGCCATATTTGGAGAAAAGGTCAAGAAGATTGGGCATTTACTGGCAATGATGGCTCCATGGAGTGCACCAGTTTATCTCACTCGAGTCTGGTGCATTTTTGAGATTTTTACAGCACATACCACCGATGGGTGCCAAGTTGACATTGTCATGCCCCCAACAGAAAAACTTTCTTTGGAACAGGATGTCATTGACAATGGCAGTAGCATCAATGCACTGTATGAGACCTTGGGGAAAACCCATGTTGAAAATGCCAAGGCATCTGTGGAAAGTGACAGGCTAGCCATTCTCTCGCAAATCGAGTCAGGTGCAGGATATCAAGGGCTGAACAATGAAGTAAACAGCTTGTTGCGTGGGTGGATGTTGGGTGTCATTACCGAGCTAGCAGAAACCAGAGAAAACACCTACGATGAGGACTATGCAATATTTTGCAATCAAGCTGGGATTGTGCTTCAAAAGAATGGAGAGCCAGATGCAGCCATGCATCTCTTCCAATCTGCTTTGGCTGTATGCGAGGACATGCTGGGTGAGAACAGCTTTGGCACCGCAACCACCTACAACAATATTGGCGCTGTGCTGGAAGTCAAGGGTGACTACAATGATGCCTTATTGCAGTACAGCAAAGCTCTCACAATTCAAGAGAAAGTATTGGGTAAATATCACCCTGCTGTGGCTACCACGTACAGCAACATTGGGCTTGTACTTCAAAGGATGGGCGACTTCAATAGTGCTCTTTCAAAGTATGAGGAATGTCTTGCCATTGGTGTGTCTACGTTGGGAAGGCATCACACAGATGTGGCAACCACCTACAATAACATTGGTTCTATTCTCTGGGAGATTGGTGACTATGAAGGTGCTTTGCTGAAGCACAAGGAAGCTCTTGCTGCTAGATTGTCAGCCTTGGGGAAGAACCACCCTGATACTGCTCAGTCGTTCCACAATATTGGTTCCACTCTTGTGAAACAGGGTAACTATGATGAAGCCTTGTTGAAATTTGAAGAGTGCCTTGCCATCTGGGAGCCTGTGTTGGGACGGGATCATCCCAACACGAAGGAATGCATGAAATTAAAGCAAATCGCAGCGGGAAAAGCACGGAGGGAATGGTCTCAAGTGACAATGGAGCATGAACAAAGCAACTGGCTTGAGGAGTGGCAGGCACAAGAAGATCCTGAGCTCATCGCGGCATTGGAAGCATCCCTCTTATCGCCCGAATAATCTGTGATTCGCCAACATCACGACAAATCGCTGCGTCGCTGACTCAAATCTAGGATAGCTAGCTAGCTAGCAGTAGTATTTGCTTGTGTAGCTCGATCTGATTATCTTGGAAGCCGCCCCAGATGCATCCGAGAACGGACGTCACTCGCGGTTATTCGCAACCCGACTCAACAAAAGGGTGCTGACTTGCTTGGAGGAGCTCTTGGGGGCAAGTTCGACCGAGACTAATAGTAGGTGATCACCCGCGACCCCATTGAGGCCCAGGAAATCCAACGTTTGCTCCCTGATCTTGCTCGCTGCTTTCACCGACCCGAATCGCCGTGAGTCGGAGTCTGCTGCTTTTGGTTTGATGGAAACAAAGTCGAGAAGCCCGACGGATACTACTTCGCGAGCGAATGATGGTCAAGTACAAGACGGGACAGGGGAAACCGGTCGCAGAACTTCATTGAGAAAGACGGACTTTGGCTGTCAGCGAAGGGTTGACTTGTGATGCCCCTGAGCTAGATTTTGATATCCAGGGTGTCCGTCTCCTCGGTCCTCAACAGGCCATAGGACCGCGGTGATGTTGAGCTGGCTCGACACATCCACAGAGAAAAAGTCATGGCGTGTTTGCCATATACGGTAGGTACACCGCAGGTAGAATAATCGTCGTTCACATAGAGCTCGGGGAGGTTGACGGCAACGCCTGACCAGCAACGACAGTGTTCTCGCGCCCTCTTGTTCTGATACGATGTTGAAAATGAGGGCTCTGAATATCACTTTGTTTGAAACCTTTTGATCGATCCGCAGTTTTTTACGACAATGACTTGTTCTGCTGTGTGGTTCAAATCCTTGCGCCCTCCGTTTTTCGCGTGCCGGTTTGTTGTTGTTGTTGTCTTGCTATTGTTGTTCCTTCACTTTGGCAATCACAAAGTCCACGAGCTGCTTCACTGTACAATTTGTGACAAAGATCATGTTGTCTGGATCACTCTTGGTGGGTGCTGGGACACACTTGCCTCGCAATCCGAGTCGTTCTGCCAAGAGCCTTCGCATGAGTTGTTTCCGCCCTCCCAGGTTACCTTTTGACGAGATGAGAATGAGATCATCCAGCAGGGGCATCCTTTCCAGATCCAAATCAATCTCAATCCTTTTCAGGGCATTCTTAGGCTCATCGCCTGTGGGTCTCACTGTTTGTTGTTGTGACACTCTCTCCTCATCAGCAGTCATAGTCATGCTGCTGTTGTGGTTGAGACTGTTTTGTAGTCGTGTTTGATAGGCTTTCTTGGCAGTTTCCGAGCGAACTTTATGGCGCTCTCTCATCATGGCATTTTGATTCGACAGCAAAGCATCCCTTGGGATTGGCGGAGCATCTTGTTGCTGGTTGTTATCATCATCATCTAGCAGCAGTGCAAGGTTCTGCTGCTCCAAGAATTCTTTTTGTTGGCGACGTGTCTGTTTAAAGCTTTTGGCCCTCTTGGCATTGGCTTGTACATACATGGTTGTAGCTTGTGAGATTTCCTCCTCCGTCAAACTATTGAATTCTGGAGAATTCATAAACTCCATGGTAAAGGCTGGTGACTTCTTCTGGCTGGTGGACAGAGTGGACCCTGCTGATTGTTTTGTTGCCTTTTTCTTTTTGGATCCCCAACGTTTCTCATACCAATTCGCCTTCCATTCAGGGTCCTCCCATCGTTTTTTGGCTCCTTGACATCGCCGGACTCTTGTTTCCGATGGCTCTGCCGCAAATGTTGAGAATTCGCGTGCCCATTCATCCAGATGATCGTTTTCCGATTGACCTTTGAAATCAAACGATACCTGTTCCAGTAGAGAGGTTGCCATGTGATTTGAGAAGGGAAGTTGCTGTTGTTGCTCCTGTGTGGCTCTTTCGCCATTGTCATTGTCACTGCCATTATTATTTCCACTTCTACTTACTCCTCCAGCATCCAACTCCCAAAAGTCGGTTGTCGCGTCAGCGGATGCAAGGCTGTCATCACCGTGTGTTGTTGACTGTTGGTAGTACTTGAGTTCACTGGGATCGTCCCAAAAGAAACCTCCTGATTGGGATCCCATGGCCAGCTTTTGCTGTTGCTCGCGCTTCATTTTTCGTTCCTTTGCCTCCTTCCATTGTCCCAACCGATTCTTCTTCTGCAAGTAGGCTCTACAAGCCAGCAGCAGTTCTTCATCCGACAACTGGGATGAGGAATCTTTGGGTTCCAATGGTAATAGGCGTATCTCCGCATTGGATTCTTGATTGTCATCTTCCGTGGCAGTTGTGGACAAATAACGACGAGCGGCCTTCCTTGATGCCCTTCCGTGTACAGAGAAAGCATCGCATGATGGCAACGGCGAACCGAGCAAACTCAGACACGCGGAAAGAAACACGAAGTTCATCTCTGAAGAATGAGACAGAAGGCTGCTCACTCTTAGATTCTTCGCCGCTGTGCCAGCTAGCAGTGGTGTTGTGGTGTTGTCCTTCCACTCCCAGCTGCCAGCTGCGAGTGGCTGTCGCTCGACCAAATAACCACAATAATATTGCGGAAAACCCTCATTCGTGGATCTTGGGGTGTCAATTCCCGTACCGGTACCGGTACCGAGAGCTTCTTCTTGGTTGGACTCAATCATCGAATTGCTTTCTACAATGGTATAATAGCCAAACCAAGTTTCTGATTGATTTCCCTGGGCTACAGAATGGACCATTGGCCAGGCGATTGCATAAACCAAGGAATGGATCTGTTCAATAAGATGGTTCAAGAGCTACCGGTAGTACGAGGCTTGAAGCAATCCGTGGGCACCCAGCCATCTACCTTTTGTTGCACCATGATATGGCTCTGTGGCGCAACGAATGCGGGAGCGAACTGTTGGATGGCAACAATCAACTGTCTGGCAGATAGTGGAATCCTGAATCTGTACTGTTCCAGTACTACTGATTCACTCTTTGCCGCCGAGAGCCCTGCATGGTCACGAAGGCTTGGCTGATGATGCAGCAGGCCATGGTGTTGTTCTGGTTGCAGTTTTTGTACCTGGACAGTAGCTACCGTATGCGCAGTCACAATAGCGCAGACGATGTCAATGATCTTCTTTCGTTTGCGCACACTGAATTTACTACCTGGGCTCCATGATCAAGTATCAACTACGCCGGGCCCCGCGGCAGCCCCCTCCACAGGAAGAAGTGAAAGCTATGATCCAGTTGGCTTTCCGGAACAAACCAAGCCCCGGTGGATGTGCGGTACCAATCAGTGTTCTTGTGTCCGTTTGGAGACATTCACGTCTGTATTGGAATTGAGGCCCCAACACTTGTGGTATGCCGCCCAACACAAGCACCTTGTTCGAGCCGATGCTATTCAGGTTGGCGAGGTTCTACAGAAGGTGCATGGCATTAACGCCACCGTCAATATAATGTGGCCTGTACGCACCGCTCACCCCCAGTGGGACGATTGTCGTCGATGGGGTTCAAACTGCCAAGAACCGTTCATTGCTCTCCATGATGAACACGCTCCGGCATTTGTCAGGCCACAGAACGGGTTGACGTTGGTAGCTCATCAGGCCTTGTCACATTTGTTGCTTTCTGAGTCCCTTCCGCTCGCTGTGCATGAAAACCGTCGACCGGTAGCGGTCACCTTATTGTAAATGAGCGCTACAACGAGGAGGGAATGGCACATTCTGTAGCCAGGGGGATCCTCTTGGGTGACAGCTTGGATTCTTACCGGCTGCGCTGTGCCGCGCTGCTGTTCGTGGGCGGATGCTGCCGTCGTGTGGATTGCGGGGTTTTCGGTCCCTATGATGGCGTTGTCTTGGTTGGCTGGTCCCGATGACAGTACTGGTAGAGGGAAGCAAGCACCCATAGTTGTGCAAAAGCGTATTTTATTATCTAGTTAATGGAGTGTGCATGTTGTTCAGTTATGCAGCCATGTATTCTTTCATTATTTTCGTTCCATGCATCCGTTGCATGGCACTTTTTACATGGCAACAACCGCACGTTGTTGGCGCGCCATCCTGTGGCGTTGCATTGTGATGGACCTGTTCCAGTGGTACTCCATGGAGTTTTCCCATGGTTCCAAGACACACTTGTACAAATCCAGTGCTGCCATGGCATCTTCCTTGGGGCAGTGTGCACGGCCCTGTACCTGAATATCACGGTTCAACATTTCTTTGCAGAGATCTTTCAAAGCACGGGGCCACAAGCCTCCATCTTGATAGCGGATCTTCATGTAGGGTTCATACTTGGCCGTGTCACGAATCATGTACCATGGATGGGTGATTCCCAAGACACTCAGGTCCGACTTGAGTCCATGGCCAACAAGGATCTTGCCGTGCAAGAGTGCCAGGACTTGTTTCTGGCAAGTTGCAAAGTCAACCTTGGCGGCATCCAACATTTCCTTGGTAATACCAGAGACAAAGGTCCTGTAGTCTGTGACCTCCCATTGGGGTTTGACGAGTTCGTCCATGAGGGAAGGGTGTTGCCATACCAGTCAATCATGGTGACACGAGCCAAGACAGAGTGGGCTCCGTACTCGCCGACGCCCACCATTTCGCAGTCGAGGGCGACGTAGAGATCCTTTTGCTGCTTGGTTAATTCACGTTTCTTTCCTCCCCTCTTGTTGGGAGATGCGGATTGCTGAGGCATGGCCCCGTAGTACTGTTGTTGTTGGTACGGAGCTTGGACTGCTGGCATCATCATGGCGTGTTGTTGTTGTACATCATGTTGTTGTAGTACCCTTGTATTGTTGTTGCTGCTGCTCCTTGCGTGGGTTGTTTCGCTTCTTGCGAGCCACAGTGCGCTCGGGAGATCCGGCGGATTCACAGGACGAAGTCTCTCCATCGGTGGTGGCGGTAGCGGTGGAGCTGTCATCCTTGGCCGGCTTGGCTCCTTCCTCGCGACGAGCGGCAGACTCTGCCATCAAGGCGGCAATCTTCTTTTGTTGCTGGCGCTTGCGTCGGTATCCTCCACGGCGGCTGCGACGAGTCTTTCGACGAGGTTCTGTGGATGTGGCGTCATCGTCGTTGTCATCTTCTTGTTCAGGCACAACATCCACAAGTTGCTCTTGCTGGGGTTCGGTTGGCTGTAGCATGGCAGGTAAGAAAAAGGAAAGAGTCAGAGATCAATCGGTAAAGGCAATGGAGCAGTCATGTCGCTGCGGCCCGCAGTGGGGATGTTGGGCTGAATCATCATCCCCAAGGGGTTTTCCCGCGGTGCCGAACTTTTTCAACCAACTATGCATTGACGTACCTGGTCTACTGTCATTATTGTTTTGTTGGTGCTCCACAAAGTTGTTGGAAATATTTGGCTAAAGCTTTCTGTCTGCTATCAGTGTTGATGAAGGCGAAAGAAAGAAAGGATCAGTTGGATCAGCAAAATAATCAGGATGTGAAACTTTTGTGGTGGGCGCGTTGAAATGAATTTGCTTGGTGCAAAATTTGTGAGAGAAATGGCTGTGGGGTATCCAATCTGCGGCACAAGAAGGCACGAGGGAGCTTCCGTCCGTCCCAAAGAAGGCAGGGGTGGAAGTGCCTTGGACCAACTCGGTTTTGGCTCATTAATGACCTTTGGTACTGTAATTTCACACTGTTTTGACAAAATGCGTCATTAATGACCAATAATGACCATGTGGTTCACGCGATTTGTCCCAAGCTTCCCAGAGAGAAAAAAGTAAGTAGCGCAACAGCTGTCAACGGGTAGCACGAGTGTCGTGGTTCGGCCCATGAAGCTTCCTCGCTATTTTCACAAAAGAAGAGTGGCCTGGCATCCAAGCGGCATACCAGTGACATCTTGTGTCTGTCAGCACGAAAGAACCAGGCAGGCAGCAATCGGTTGGGCCAAGCACTGCCACTGCTAAACGGGGATTACTCCCAATGTAAATGCTACGAATAGAGCGTATGGGCTGGTAGAAAATTCTACACGACACAACGGTAAAGTAGGCCCAAGCGAACAAGCACGATCAAAAGGCCGTCTAGGGCGCAAGCATGCTGGCCCAGTGAGAAGGGTTAGTCATTGCAACCCTGCCCTCCCCTCCGAAACTGACAACCAGTGTTCTCGCTGGCCAAGTTGTAAGTTGGCGGAGTCTTGGCAGCAAGTACGACAGAAAAAGCTCAGCAATCTATGAGAGAGATCATGCGGTACTACCGTACTGTAGTGTAGCTCTCTAGCTACCGTAGCTGGTACCG